ATTACCTAAGTATTTTTTTTCCCCGAGACATATGACAGCATTTCATGTTTTGCATAAAGGACCTAACATATGCAAACCACTTGCATACTGTTTACAGGGTGGTGGCCATGCCATGTATATTATTTGTTAGTTTAATCCTCCATCTCATTTATTGCTTTATAAGCTTTTACCTCCGGATATGAGGTGAATAGTAGTGTCGAGGGACATTGAGGTAATAATGGTGCTAGTGTTAGTTTATCTGAACGGCCTGTTATGGGAAGGGTCAGCATCATTTACACCAAATGCTGAGTAACCATGGAGAGCTGAAAGAGTGTTAGTGCCGTGCGATCGTTTACGGATCTGTGCGCATCAGTGGAACGCCTGCTCTCTGATAACAAGGACAGAGTCGGGAGGTATTGATCTGGGGTGGCATTAGTCTAATGGAGACCTGGATGGAAGCAGTAGTTACTGCACATGTGGATGTGTGGAACAGGTACGTGAGTAATTTTAACACGATTTATCGATTGTTCTTCAATGCGTTCGTATTTCATTGTTCCTCTTTGAACTGTTTGTCGAAAAAACGGGGCTGAAACTTAAAATAGTGTTTTGTTCAGTTGGAACTACGTACCATGTCATAATGATTTGTGGATTTATTAGAGATAACAGCTTCTATTACCAGTACAACAAACAAGCACATTATTTGCATAGATTTTTCCAACTTGTCAAACATCATGCTACTGGCATTTGTGTAATTTGTATGTTAGTTGTAATTTGTAAATATATTAAGCTCATTCAATAGTATCTTTTTTGTATATTTCATATTTATCACTATTAACCCTTGGATTTGTGACAGAATGTTTTCTTGAAAATGTACAGACTCACATTTTTATGCTCAACTATTCATATATATTTTTTGTTGTTGTTAATGTAGTATTATTAAGAACATTAACTTTCCATTATAAATATAGGGTAGGGATAGTGTGTAGTCTATTTGTTTTTATTCTCTGTCTGTGTCACGCTTCCGGGTAGAGGGACGAGCGAGGACTCAGTACTGCAGAAACAAGGGTTTTAATTGGTAATAAAAATAAACAAACAGAAACAAACTACCCCGTGGGGGAAAAACAGGCTGGCAAGGCAAGGCAGGATCTGGACACATCCAGGGATTGACGATGACGAACTGACGCACGACTGCAAACACAAGGAGAATAAATGGAGAACCCTGAACAGAACCCTGACAGTCTGAGGTTAAAAATGATTTGTCAAATTGTGTATAAGGAGGAAAAATGCTTTGTGAATGTTTGATGGTTTTAATAAAAAAAAAGTAATGATAATGTTTGTGTAACATTTATCCATCATTATTTTTGGAGAAATTGCAAACTGAAAAAGATTTGTTCAGGTCATTATAACCATTTAAAGGGATAGCTCACCTAAAATGAAAATTCTCTCACGGAAGAGTACCGTAAAAAAATATTTACTCAAAAATGAAAATTATGTCATAATTTCTTCATCCATCGTAGCAAACCTGTATGATTTTATTTATTCCGTGACGGTGAGTACCATCACGGAATAAATAAAATCATACAGGTTTGCTACGATGGATGAAGAAATTATGACATAATTTTCATTTTTGAGTAAATATTTTTTTTAAGTCCCCCCAAAATTGTTCTTCTTTCTTGACTTGCATCCAGAACATATTGAAGTGATAGTTACTGTAAAAAAACTTCAGTCATGTCACAATTGCTAGTCAGTTGCCAGTTATATTAGGAGGAAGGACATTTTTATTCTATAGAGCAGTTAAATGGACAAAAAAACTGTGTAGTGCAGGATGAGTTATGAATTTTTGTTGTCTTTCCTGGTTTGAAAATGTAACTGCATTTTTTTTATGTTTGAAAAATGTTCGATTTTTTTGAAGCCTCATCCTAAGTTTACAGATCATATGGTGTATAAGTCTGTACTCATGTTTCTTCTGTTTTCTGTAGGTAGAGAAGCCGTAAATGTGCTCCACCTTTCCAGTCTCAGCATACAGAGGAGCTATTGTTCTTCAGCCTAACGCTTTCTCTCATTAGTGTGGCACTGAACTCCAAACATGAATCAGCCTTTCATTGTTAACATCTCTGCAGATTGGTACGCCATAATGGAAAGAAGACAAATGAATCTGTTCGTCGTCCCTACGGTTCTGCTAACCTCTGTCACGATGCTGGTCAACCCCATTCTTTCCCTTTGCATACTGTGTTTTCCTTTGCTACGTCAAGAGAACCGCTACCTGCTCCTTGCTAACATGCTCTTTGCCGATATGCTCTTCCTCGCCATAAACCTTGCGATGGTCTCCTGCAACTCCATGGGCCTGTACATGCCCCACTGGTTGTGTGAGTTTATGAAGCTGAGCATGGTAATGACATACAGCACCTCTGTGCTCACTATCACATTGATGGTTGTCGACACGTATGTGGCGGTACGGTGGCCGTTACGTTACAAAGAGATTCTCCCACCATCTCGGGCCAGGAAGATAATCATGAGCTTGTGGGTGATGGCCGCAGTGTGTCCCGTCTCTTTGCTAGTGATGTTCGAGGTGGTGATGGGCAAGGACAAGCAGAGCCGTCCAGTGTGTTTAGTGTTGATTGCGCTACACTCGTTGGAACAGAAGATGAAGGTTGGCATTCATTTCTACTTCATCATTGTCGTCAGCCTCTGCACTGCTCTTATTGTGTACTGTTACATCCATCTCTACATCATCACCAAGACTTCTGGGATATGGCGTAGTCGGTACTCTCGTGCGCGCATGACACTTCTGGCACACACTCTGTTGCTCATGATGTATTTTATACCCGCGTTGGTCTTTGCGGTCGAGCTGGCTCTTTTAAAGCGTACCTTGGATGACGTGGGAGTGTGGATTAACTTGGTGAACATGTGCGTGTTGATGTTGTTGCCACGCTGTTGCACTCCTTGCCTGTACATCCTGCGCTATCGCGAGATTTACAAGACTTTCCAGCACGTGTTGTGGAAGAAGAGACACCAAAGTCAGAGGGGTGCAGCCTAGAACTGGACTCGCTCTGTCGTTGGAGGATTTATTTGCAGAAGAGGGAACTTAAAAGACTCCTGAGCCAGGAAGAGATCTCAAAAGAAACATTTTTTATTTTAGAATTAATTTTAGTATATTCAATTAAAGCATTTTAATGTTTCAATCTTTTTATATTTTCATATCTAAACTGAAGACTGAATGTGCTGTTATTCAGCATAACAAAACTATATAAAGTGCAACTGGGTGAATCTCACAAAGAAAAGTCTAGGTTACTAAGACTTAATTACAAAAAAACATATTTCATAAAATAGTCTTGATTTTCTTCATGCAGTGTCTACATTTCTTGACAATTTTTGTGAGATTTCCCCAGTGATATACTGTATGTTGTTATTCATGACCACAAAACAGTAAACAGTTCTGATTCTAGGAAGACATATCAATATTTATGCCTTGGTGCAAAATCCCAGAGTGTCATTCTGATCCATTTAGCTGTGAAGTGATATTTACCTGTTTCTCCTTCTCCATGGAAACCATCTACAAGTGTGTCTGTGACCAATCCACATCTGTCTCCTAAATCACTTACCACAGTCTGCAGGAAGAGGGAAAGAGAGACACATTTACCTGTCCGTCAGTCTTTTAGCCCTGGATTGGATGCACAAACACATGCCAAGAGATGGAAAAACTGATGGAGGGAAAGTCGGAGCGTTTCTACCTAGCTGCAGAAGACCTTTTTTTATCTCTGCTTTGTTCATTTGGCAATTGGTACAACAAGTCGGGTCGAGCTGAGCTTCACAGACATTCTTCTAATTTCTCGAACTCCTCTGAAAGCCCAGCAGAGATGTTTGCGCACGAGTGGCATGGATTCATCCCTCCCAGCCACATGAGGGTGCTTCAGATCTGCCCCATTTTGGCCTTTCTGGCCATTCTGCTGATCACTCCGGTCCTTCTAGTACGTATCCTGTCCCGAGTTGACCTGCGGCAGCAGACACGTTACCTCCTCCTAGCCAATGTTCTCTTCAGCGACCTGCTCTTTGTTTGCATGAATATCCTGAGTGCCTGCATCAATTTAGCTGGTGTGTTGATGACGGAGTGGCCGTGTGCCGTGCTGCTCTTCTTATCTGCCATCTTATACAGCTCTGGTGTCCTAAGTATTACAGCAATGGTGCTGGATACCTGCTTTGCAGTGTTAGCACCCTTTCGCTACCTGGCACTGTGGCCTGTGTCACGGACCTACGGAGCACTTGGTGCCATCTGGGTCGTCTCTGTCTTTTTCCCTGCGGCATCTATTGGCATGTTTTTGTGGTACCATAGTACAGCCCCCTGCGCCCTCCACCTCTGCTCCCTTCCTTTGCTGATGGTTTTGACCGTAAGCCACTTTCGCCCACTCCATGTCTCCATGATGCTGACGGTCACGGGTATAATTTTTATCCTCCTTATGGTGTTGTCTGGTTACATCATCCTCTATTTTTGTACCCGTAGTTCAGGCGTGTGGAAGGGCGAGACCTCATCCCGTGCTAGAGGAACATTTCTCATCCATTATCTCCACCTGTTCCTGACTTTCTGCCCCCTGCTGGTTTTGATGATCGAGTTGATGCTTTGCAACAACAATGAGACTATGGACCCCAAAGCGAACCTGTGGATGTCCCTGGTGGTGTGTAACGTCTTACTCATCCTGCCCAAAGCCTTAGCGCCGTACCTGTACGGGCTCCGCTATAGAGAGCTGTGCAACGTGCTGTTCCAGTTCTTTCGGCTGAATAGGCCTACAACTATCACACCTGTGATATAAATATGATTATTCGAACTTGTGAAAAAGACTTTTAAAAAGGTGTTGCTGAACTTTTCATCAACCAGTTAAAACTGCCAGTTAAACAAGTTAAAACATTAAATTAGCTATCTGTAATGATACTCAACTAGGGTTTTGTTCACAGGATTAAAGTAATAATATGATATGTCAGAATAATATGTGAGATTAATCAAAAATATACATTCCGTTGTGGTAATAATGGCATTTATTGTGTTTAATATGGTATTATGCATTTACTTATGGTGTTTACTATGTATTTTGGTTACTAAAAACTCTATTTCTAGCCTATCATCAAAAAAAAAAGAAATCCCAGCCTTCATATACTTGTTCAGTCAGAAGCAGTAGATGTAACTACTGTACTACTGTAACTAATGTACTACTGTAAATATAAGAAATTACTATGAGGCTTTTAATGTATACGACGCTTTTAAAATCTCTCATTTTGTAATTTTTTTTTTTTATTACAGCGGTTGCTTAAACCAGGTTACTATAGTTTATTGTAGAAACAATAACTGTAGCAACTATTGTATTTTGACTATGTAAACCATGTAATTTTCTTAAAGGGGTCATATGATGCTGCTAAAAAGAACATTATTTTGTGTATTTGGTGTAATGAAATGTGTTTACGGTTCAAAAAACACATTACTTTCCACATACTGTACATTATGGTTTCTCCTCTATGCCCCGCCTTTTTGAAACGCGTCGATTTTTACAAAGCTCATCGGTCTGAAAAGCGAGGTGTGCTGTGATTGGCCAGCTATCCAGTGCGTTATGATTGGCCGAATACCTCAAGCGTGTGACGGAATTATTACGCCCCTCACATACTGTTGATGCCGTGTCCCGGTCGAAGCGACGAGACATAAACATTAAAACTCATTATAAACGAGGCATTTGTTGCATCCAGTGGGGACATAATTACAACGCACCGCGTAAACATAAAACTCTGTCTGCATTTGTGATTTTTTTGACGGCTTTTACACTTTTTTTGTGGTATTGAGTTCATTTTTGTAGGCAGCTGTAAGTTTTGAGACTGAATGTTTATTCAGAAACTGCATGAAAATATCTTGCCTGCTGAGCACTGGTGGACCATCATAGACCATCATGGACCATCTTAGACCAGCAACAAAACAGCTAGGATGATTACTGGAACATAATGTCTGGACTAGCTTTCATGCAGCCTCAAACAACTAATGACCTCTTTAGACCAGCTAAAAACCAGCAGTCATCTTAAGCTGGATTTTTCAGCAAGCTATTTAGAAAGATGGTCTCTCTAAACACTTCTTTCTCTGTGGCTAAAAGCCTTTAATGGAGTAGAAATCGCACATGATTGCTCTCATGTCATGTATATGATGTCCTCACATATGTATGTTCAGTACTCACAAAGCACGTTTTGCTGTCAACCCGTTTTAGCTGTGGAGGAAATATTGAGCAACCATCTATGTTCCTTTATTTCTACTTCCAAAAACAAAACAAACCTGAGTGACTTAAAAAAAAAAGATTGCGCAAATTCTTCCTCTCTCTCTCTTGCTCACTCACTCGCTTTATCTCTTAACACAAAGAATCAATGTTCCTTTTATGTCAGTGCACTATTGCCTTAAGGAATAGATTTTTTTGTTTGTTTGCTTGTTTTTTTTTTTTACTGGTCACGTCTTGACACATTTCAGTGTGCTCTAAAGCACGTTTTGCTGTCAACCCGTTTTAGCTGTGGAGGAAATATTGAGCAACCATCTATGTTCCTTTATTTCTACTTCCAAAAACAAAACAAACCTGAGTGACTTAAAAAAAAAAGATTGCGCAAATTCTTCCTCTCTCTCTCTTGCTCACTCACTCACTTTATCTCTTAACACAAAGAATCAATGTTCCTTTTATGTCAGTGCACTATTGCCTTAAGGAATAGATTTTTTTGTTTGTTTGCTTGTTTTTTTTTTTACTGGTCACGTCTTGACACATTTCAGTGTGCTCTAGGTGGCTCAGCATGAGGAGTTTCTAGACCTCCACAAGGATGAGCTGGAGGCATACTTGGCCAGCGATGAGCTGTGCATTGGCAGGGAGGAGGTGGTGTTCGAGGCAGTGATGCTTTGGGTCTACCATGGCGTGGAGTACCGCAGACCTATGCTGAAAGATCTGCTACAACATGTCCGACTGGCTCTCCTTCACCCAAACTATTTTGTACAGACGGTGAGTGGCACATTCAAATTCATTTGAACAGAAGATCTTTTTTAGTTCAACAAATCCAGATATGTGCTGATGTTTATAGAGTGCTGCAGAGATGACATTATTTTAGGCCAACAGTTAGCATAACCCTGGTTCCCTTGACTGGGTGGGGTATTTTTTTGTTGGCTGTTGGATTATTGCAGGAAATAAGCTCTGTGACCAACAAAAGTTTATGACCCTTACACATCTTGTTCATCATGATAATCTTCACAAATGAACACAAGAAACATCATCCCTGTCGCACTCTGATTTTATGATCATAGAATCATAAAATCAGCCTTGGTTTGTTGTGAAAATGAACCCTACGTTGGGTATGGCATGGTCCTAAAATTACGGAACCAGATAAAGCATGGCCTTGAGATTTGGCTAGTTGCAGTGTTGCTGCGCTCCATTTACCTCGGAAGTTGAATGTCGGAGCTTGGAATGATGTCAGACCCGAGTTGGAAAACCAACTTCTATACCAGTTGATAAAAACACATTAAAAAGTGATATTTAACACAGATAATTCCGATGAGTCATGTCCACACACAGAGGTTGGATTATATCGTGTGCACCACTGAGTTTATTGTGACGCAGACAAACATAAGTGCTAATAAACAATATATTACTACTGTTTCACTTCTATTGATGCACTGAGCAGCCAGATTGGATTCTGAAGTTGGGGTTGTTGCAGTTCCTCCGAGTTTCCAATTCGGAACTCTGACTTGAGGGGACATTCCAATGAAAAGTTCCTACTGGGAACGCGGAATTTCAGACTTCTGAGTATAAATGGAGTGCAGCATTTCTCTTCAATGATGATCAAACACACCTGAACCAGTTAATCAAGATCATGGGGTTCACTTGAAAACTATCGGCAGGTGTGTTGATGTTTGCCAAGTCAAAGCTCTTTCCTTATTGTTGTAATGCAACAAGATTATTTAAACAAGATACATGGACTCTACAGGAAGCCAGATATAAGGGAGCCAATTTAAAGTCAAGCATTAAGAATGTGATTATATTTTGCAGGTGGAAGGCGATAAACTGATCCAGAATGCTCCAGAATGTTACCAGCTGCTGCATGAAGCACGTCGCTATCACATACTTGGCAATGAGATGATGTCGCCACGAGCCAGACCCCGAAGGTGCACAAATGTTTGTGACTGAAAATTGGCTGATAAGATGATTTGCTCTTATAAAAAACAAATCACATTTTGCTCATGAAATAGTTTTTTCCTGTGAGGGACTAAAATTACATGCAATTCACAGATAAAGTGAAACTGGCCGTCCTTAAATACACCTCCATTTGTTAACCAGAAAAGGTAGACTTTGGGCGTAAACTTTAGTAACTTCAGTGCATAATTCATCTCCGTTTTTTTTTTTTGCTCTTACTTATGCGAATGATAGCTCAAATAGTGCAGCTGAAGAGATGTGTGCCATTACTTGTAAGCTAACGGATTTATGATTACCGGGAAGTCGCTTTTTTTTTTTAAACTGGCATTGCAGGAGGGATGCCATTTCTTGAGACCAGAATATCACCTACCACACTAACAACCACACAAAACACTTTAGCAACTGCAAAACAACATCCTGGCATTATGGCGGTGACTTTTGCATGGGCAGGCACCACTCACGTTTTCTTCAGAACAAATATAGTCCATTTCTACAAACTCACTTGACTGATATCATGAGTGAAGAGATCATTAAGTACTTCTGTTTGTAGAAAGCATCGACTTAAAAGAAGGCTCAGAATTAGAAAGCATGTCTTTGTTTAGTGGCAGCATGTCTTGCTCTGGAGGCAGTATTTATTTAGGAAAAGTAATTTTTGTGTATTTTTAGGGTAGTATCTTTATAGGAGTCAGATGTGGGGAGGTGTAATCTGTACTTGGAGGCGGTATCTTGATATGGAGTTTCTGTATTTAGTGTCAGTATCCTAATATGGGATCTACATGTGTATTTAGAAGCGATATGTGTGTTTGGAGTCAGTATTTTTTATTAGGGCTTGAAAATGTATGAGCATGCTTTTTTCATGCATGCATATTTCAAAAATGATTTAGTGATTAAAAAAAATGCACACATACAGCCCAAACCCAAACCAGAAATTCACACACATTCACTGTACAGGGCGTATTCAGATTTTTCTGTGCTACACACATAAAAGTGAAGGCCTTGAAGCTTTACCACATAGTGTTGTAATATTTCAGACAACGGTTTTGTCAGTGGTTTGTACGTTTGGTTTTGTATTTAATATAAATTAAATACATGCACTTTTTATTGTCTAGAAATAAGAAACTTTTAACTGCAGTAAATAAATTAGTTTGTTTTGTGAGTTATGTGGGCCTCTAGCTTGTGACAGTGTCTAGGAAGAGGATTCATTCTCCAATGAATCATTGCCGAATCTCATTGTACCTTAGCAGGAATGAAGCATAACTACTTTCTGATGATGTCACCTCTTTAAAGCCCATGCTTATCTAATATTGTTGTTGGGTTTTTTTTATGTATTTTTTTGTCGTCTGCAGGTCTACTGGTTTCTCTGAGGTCATTGTGGTGGTGGGAGGCTGTGAGCGAATGGGGAGTTTCAATCTGCCATACACAGAATGTTACGACCCCGTGACGGGAGAGTGGACGTCTCTTGCTAAACACCCTGAGTACACTAAGTCTGAGTATGCAGTGTGCGCTCTCCGCAATGACATTATTGTGTCAGGTGAGATCCTCTTATTCCTATGTGACAAATGATTAATTGCGCGGTAATTTGTTTTCTGTTTTTGAGTAGCCCCACCCACAGTAAAGCCTCATTGGTCCAAAGTCCTTGTCATAGCTGTATATAAAGCACCCTTTATTTTCTAATTGGTTGTGATTTTGGTACATAATGCAGTATTTTTGTTTTAACTTCAGACGGAAAAATGACTTGAGGCTGGAAACCGATAAAGTGTGGTTAGGACATGGTGATATTTGCTGTATTTTTGGTACTGGTGTGTCCTGTACTTGGTCACAGTGACTGATCAGAAAGAGTCTAGTTCTGTGGAACCTGAACACACACACAAACACACACTCTTTTGAGCTGTGTTGTTGGCACAGGGCATGTGAAACTTCCTATAAAAGTAGATTCGCCCAGATTTACACATTAGGGAAGAGTCTTGATGTCTGCCTGGAACATAAATGACATGTTATAAAAATGTCAAATATGCAAATTTAACCGCAGTTTTTGCAATTTTAACTGTTTTGTTTACTTTTACCCTAAAAACATTTGAAGTGTCCTACTGATAAGACTATTACTGTGTGAAGTGTGGGGGAAAGGTGTGCTGTAACCTTTCTAAGTGATCCGACTTATACCACCTCACAGGTTGAAAACTGTTCAAATAAAACTTTTTTGAAGACTGGACCCAAACCATGTATGGGGATCAGAATATCATAGATACTTAGGAATGGGCTCTTAAAAATTGTGCCAGTAAGCAACCATTTCTAGCAAGCACCACTCACATAGAAAATATAAGCATCTACTTTTAAATTCATCATTCGGTTGAGCTTCATTGAGCAAATTCTGTTGTTGTTTAGATGGGTTGGACTAATTAGTCCAGGGTTTTGTTAGGCGGGTTTAGCAAATGCCTTGTTTGTGAGGACATTTCTGGAACAGCTGTTTATGATTTGAGGAAAATACAACAGCTGCCTCTTTGACCAGCCAATGTATCAAGGGCTGTTCTCTTCTGGCAAACTCTAGCATTGGCTGAGTGCTCGAGACATTTTAATCTCTAACTGGCATGGGCAAGCGGCATCTTGGGGGAGTATTTGTGCCAAGAGTTTCAGAATAGTTCCAGTTAGGGCTGTCGCGGTTAGAAAATTTCCCTTGCGGTTATTATCGGTGGCTCAATAGCGCGATATGCGGTTCTACCGCAGAGTGGTTTTTTTATTTATTTTTTTAACAAACCTTATTTATCCTGATTTTACTGCATACAAAGCTCTTTTGTTGAGTTATTATGTAGCATATATTGTTGCTTTTTAACTGACAGAGAGACACGTTTTAAAACATTTTTGTTTATTGTTAAATGCCAAACAGCAATAAGAACATGCCTTTTCCAATTTAAAAAACAAAAGAAATAAAAAAAATTCTAAAGTATCAAATGAAAACAAGCAATAAGAAAAACCTTTTTGCAATTTGAAAAACGAAAGAATTCTAAAGTATCACATGAAAACAAAGTGTTGGCCTAAGTGAAAATACAGAGAATAAACTAAATATTATTTAATCGTTAACGAATGTGATTTAGACCTGGGTTATCATGTCCTTGTTTTGCGCTAGGAAAACCAACATATTAACCTTATGTGGTTTCAGGGAGGATCGCATGGGGGTAACAATATTCCCGCCGGCACTGAAAACCCTTTCCGACGGTGTGCTCGTTGCACAAATACACATATATTTGCGCGTGACTTTGGACAGCAGCGGAAATCTAGACTGATTATCGCGCCACCAGGACAGTGGATTCACGTTGGAGTCTATGCACTCCTCCTACAGGTAGCGCGTGAACTCGTTATCTGCTCGCACTCTCTTGGGTATGGGCGCTGATGCAGAGGTTGTCCGTGACTTCAGCAGGTCTCCAAGAGTCTTTTTCTTTGCTGCAGGTGGCACCACCGCGTGCCCTTCGTCTCCAACCACTGATGCACTGGCAGCACTCCCTTCGTCCTCCTCTCCCACCATCTCTTCAATGATGTTGAAGTTTGTCTCCGTGTCATTGATATAATTGCCCCTATATCGAGGATCTAAAAAACAGGCCTTTTCCAAAAGTTTTTGTAAGGCAGCTGGTTCATACTTCCCCTGTAGAACACTGCACATTTTGTGCTTTATGTCCGATGTTAATGTGGTATCCTCATTTGATGGTTTAAGCATATCTTCTGTCAGGAGTTTCAGGGTGGGTTTGACTGAAGATACTGTAACGTAGCTCTCGCCAGACAGCAGATCCGTAAACGAAACCCCGGATACAAACAGTTCGCGGGAAATGACACTCGTAACACTCTTGTATCATTATTAATTTATTTAATATTCAATACACAGTGATGAATTGTAAAACAAGAAGGCCACAGCCTCATGAAACAAAAACAAAAAACGTGAACACTGCAGTTGCTTTCCTTCCTCTGCGGTTGGCTCGTCAATAGCGCGGTATTACAATATTGCGGTTATCGCGACAGCCCTAGTTCCAGTAATGATCTGCAGTTTTTGGCTGCAGATGTTGGTAAGGTTATTGCATCACGTCATCTAGGGTCACTGGCTACATATACAGGTCATGCATTTGAGGAGTTTCTGTAACTTTGACGTTTTATGCATTTAAACTTGACCTAAATTCTTTTAGGTCATGTGTGTTTTTGTTTAAACAAGCTAGATGCCATAAGGAGGAATTCTGAATTGTGTCATTCTTATTCTTCTCCTACTAGAGCCATTGTTTAGCTCTTTAAAAACATGAAGTAGTACGGAGTGTGTTTGGTGTGTCTGATTTCCATGAATAGAGCTGTGTTTTCACTCTCATGTTCTCACGTGTCAGGTTTGCCCTTCTCTCGGTCTCTCACACACTCATAAACACGCACTTCTTATTGCTGTTCTCGCGTGCACTTGCAGTTGGCCAGCCTCCAGCATCAAGTTCAAAGGCGTCTTACTAAATCTGTCCCTCTCTTCTGTCAAAAGTCATATCCTACAGTCTTGGTGGTTCAGTGTTTCTAGGAATGAACCTAAGTTTTGAATGAACGTATACTAATTTGACATTTCCTTTTCACAGTTGCCCATTTTAGGAGGCTAATGAACAGGGTCGGCGCTAATCATAAATCACATCTGGGGCTTACACCATTCGTGCCATTGCATAATGCAAAGGTATTGTTATTTGCAAGTGTAAATAACTCCGATTACACTCATTTTTCAGGATTTTTAATATATGTCAGAAAGGTCTGGTAGAAAAATAAACAATGAACTAAAAATGTCAGTTTTAAAGAGACAAGGAAAGGAATAAAGGAATGGAAAGGAATGAACAGTAGTCAAAATGATTGGCTGTTTTTACCCTTATGCCTCTATAACATTCAGGACTATCCAAAGTAGATTTAAAGCTACATCTCTTCAGCATGTCAAGCAGTGTTTCCGTTAATGACTAGCTTTACTGTTCACCTGCAGGTTTTGCATCTGAAAGTGCCTGCTTTAAACAAGCTTAGTGACAACATGTGAAGTGTCATCTGGAGACCGACTCCGTCTTAAAAGTCGGTTTGTCTGGTCTTCAGTCTGAATGAATGTCACAAAGGCCCGATGGTATTTGTCAGGGGATATTTATGACAGTCGAGCAAACTATAAAAGAACTTAAGCCAGTCTTTATTATGTTTACTCAGTATTAGAGGACAAAGCAAGAACATCCTCTTTAATTAGACTTAATTGAATCTGTCTTTGTTTACCAGACAGTTGCTCAGCTAATGCACTAATAGAGTTTATGAGCACTGTGGTTGTTGTTGTGCCGCTTGTACTTCCTCAAAAACGTTCTTCATTTCTTTTCTACCTCCTCTTTTTCCTTCTTTGAGCTTCCCTTTTTTACTTTTCCCCAGTCTTTCAGTTAAAAACAGCTGGTTATTTTGAGTTTATTTACTTCAACACTCATGAGCATTCCCTGATATGAGCTAAAGAGGCTAAATTTATGATACCAGTATTTCCTGCACTGAAAATAGGTAAAGCATTACCAAGATGACCATCTAGTGCACTGACCTACCTTGAGGGACTTTGACTGTACTGTGAGGGAAGAAAGGCCTCATATGCTGTTTGAGAACTTTTCAGACCTTCATTATCTAAGTCTGTAAACAGAATTAAAGTGGAGCGGCCTGCTCCCAGGTGTTTAGCGTGTGTGTGGGAGAGAAGGACTGTTAGAGCTTGTCTCAGACCTGCTGTTTGGATGATAACCAGCCATTTGGCCGAGATGTGAAGTGACACAGAATAGAACAGCCCTCAGCGGGTTTAGATAAACTTAGATGATAACAAGAAAGGACGTTCAGATCAGAGGGAGAATTTCTGTTTAGCAGGAACACAGGTGAAGCGCTGTGGTTTGTGTAATTACAGACATGGTGTTGTCTGAAACGGAGAATTAATAACCTGTTTGCAAAATTATGCATCTATTCCAAAGCTATGCAGTGGCCCCAAAAAGTATCTGGACACTTAAGTCACACTTACGTCAGTTAAAAATGTTAGGAATGTCATTGATAAATCAAATGATGCTCAGAACTAACTTCACTTTTCTGAGCCATTTCTGCAATGTTTGGTCTCAAGGTGATTTTTAGTGGATGTACTAAGTCAGTTCCCCTCAAGATGTCCTGGTAGAGTAATAGATCATCATATTAGGTCAGAAAATGTTTGACACCCAGAAAGTCTCAAAATACTTTTTGTCTTCAATGTAAACGGATTATATGCAAACGGTTTTATAAAATGTTATACTTGTGCAAATGCGTTCAATAACACACACATACACGTTCTTTTAGTATTATGTATGTAATATTATAGCATATCTTAAAATATTTATAATTATTTGTTCTAATATTTTCTGTTTGTATTTTAAATGGTAGTTTACATTTTAGTAATTTTGTTATGCTTTTGTCATTTGTATTGTCAGTTTTTATAAATATATTTGTAGTTACCTTTTTTTTTTTTAAATCATTTTTGGATTTAATAATTGTTTCAATACATAAACTTGTTTATTTCAGTTAGTTGCCAAAGCAGCTTTTTAAAATTTCATTTAAATTGTTTATATAATATTTCAATTTAAATTTATTTCAGATGTTTTGTTTTTTTGTTAGGAATAACAACACTGACACACTCACTTGTCTGTCTAAATGGGGTCATTCCATAGACTTCTATTGTTTTTATACTGAGCAGTTATAAATACTAAAACCTAACCATCACAGAAAACTTTTAGCATTTTTACATTTAAAAAAAAAAATAAAAAATTGTTTGTTGTTTCTACAAATGAGGATATCCTCAAGTATCCCCAAAGGGAGGGTTTGTCAGGTTTAGCTGATTTTTGGATACAGAGTTGACCTGCACACACATACACACACACACACACACACACACAGAGCTTGCTTATGCTGTTGTTAATGCTGTGGTTGTTTTTACAGGTGGACGCATCAACAGCAGTTACGTCTGGATGTATAACTCTCAGCTTAACATCTGGATCAGAGTGGCTTCTCTTAATAAGGGTCGCTGGAGACATAAGATGACCGTCCTTTTGGGGAAGGTGAGAGGGAGTGGTGTGCTTGTGTGTGTTTCCAGTCCCAGTGTCCCATTTCCTAAATCAAAGGCACACTTCCTTTACTGCAGTGTGACCGTATGGAGAAAATTATGCAGGATTTGCACCTGTGTGTTGCACTGGTAAAACATCTAATGTAAATAAATATTTGTAATTTAAGTGTTGCTTGGGGAAAAAAAATAGTTTTAATAGGTTCAAATACATGGCTACTTGATGATGATAGAGAAAGATGTTTTTGGCTTTATTTTAGGCATCCCCACCCCTGTTTGTTCCTTTGTTTTTCCTTATCATAGTTAGCCCTGTATTAGAATTACTCAGATTTCCTCTTCTCTTTGTTCTCCATAATTAATATTGAGAGAGATTTTAAGATAAAATATTATCTTCAAATATTGCAGTTTTAATACACGTTTGCTGCACTTTCAACACTGCAAAAGACAGTTTTTTTTTTTTCTTAGATGTGCCATAACATATGACAATCTCCTGTTCCAATTGGTCGTCTTCCCATATTTATATATGGTAAAAATGTATATATGTAACGGGGCCGACGAGACGTGAGACGTGTGGATCCATCTGCAAGCTTTATTCAAAGAGATGTGGTATAACAGGCAGGGTCGAACAATGGCAAACGGGTATATGGCGGGCAAAAACACAAGAATAGTCCTAGGGCTGGCGTAGGTCACCGATCGGCAGACAGAATCACAGGGGCAAGACGAGAGGGAGAAATCCAGGAAAACAGGCAAAGATCAGATACTGCAGAAACAGGCAAGGCAAAACAAGGAAAACACGGAGACTCTGAGAGGGGTACAGGCTAAACTATACTCAGCCGAGAAAGGTGGTTAGAGTGGGTGTTATATAGTGAGTGAGGTGATTAGAAACAGCTGTGTGCAATCAGTGCAGTGTGCAAATCGTGCAAAGAATGATGGGATATGTAGTCCGGGGTCCTATGCAACAGTTTGTAGTGCGAGAGTCAATGTAATGGAAAGGGTGACATCTGGTGGTGAATAAACGGAAGTCCATGGACCGAATTCGTGACAATATATATGTATACAGTATATAAATAAATGTGTAAATGTGTGTGTGTGTGTGTGTGTGTATGTATATATATATATACACACACACATTTATATATAAAACATCCTTAAAATAGGATTATCTGAAAAAAAAAATGCATGGGATATTAATATTAAGCGATTTTCAGGTAATATATTGTGATTGAGTTTTTTCTTACCTCATTGGCAATGGCAAATTGTTATTTTTTTGTTTGTTTTAAGAATATATGCGATTAAAATGTAGTGTGGTTTATGCTTCAAACAAGACAAAAACATTTTGGCAGTGGGTTAAGAGAAATAAACTAAAAAAAAAAACGTTTTTAGAGAACAACATTTTCCGTGTACAGATGCCACATTTTAATAATCAAGCTTTTAGTGTGTGTTTAGGGCTATTTTGATCAGATGTTTACAGCTCTAATCAGATTGTGCTGTTGCCATTTAACTGATCATTTTGTAGAAATTAGCTGCCCCAATTGTTGTGTGTTGTGTTTGTCTTATGCAGAAGCATGCTTCACTTCCTGTGAATTGTGTGTGGGTTTTTCATGTTTTGTTGTGATGGTCTTTTTGGTGTTTTATTTTGGGAGTTTGTGAATCTTTTAAACACATGCATTTCATTACACATGCAGGGGGTGTAACATTCTGCCTGCTTGGATGTAATGTTTTCTGTTCATACACATAGAGAGAAAGACACGCACAGAATGCTCTCTTGAGACTTTTTTCTTGGAAAACAGTTGTTGTAATTCTCTCTTTTCCTCTCTCTGTGTGTGTGTGTGTGTGTGTGTGTGTGTGTGTGTGTGTGTGTGTGTGTGTCCGTCCGCCCAATGCCCATTCTGCTCTATAGTTGTTTACAGACACATTTGCTTGGCTTTCATGATGTTTGTAGCTCTTTAGAGGGAGGATTGAAATGAGTTTCGATTTTAAAGGAAATAGTTCATCCAAAAATAAACGTTTTGTTAACATTTATTTACGTCCTCATGTTGTCCTGAATCTGTATGACGTTTTCTTCAGTGGAACACGATGACATGAGGGTGAGCAAATAATGCTGCAGAATTTGTAATTCAGTGAACTTTCCCTTTAAATGTTTTCATTCCATCTACCAGATTTTTTACCTTAGGAATTTTCTTTTATGCATTTAATTTTGTGTTGTGTTGTGTGTGACACAAATTTGTATAATGACATGGGTATGACATGGGTATTACAACGAGAAGGTGATTTATTATGGATTTCCATTTTAAAGGAAATAGTTCACCCAAAAATAAAAGTTTTGTTAACATTTATTTACGTCCTCATGTTGTCCTGAACCTGTATGACGTTTTCTTCAGTGGAACACAATGACATGAGGGTGAGCAAACAATGCTGCAGAATTTGTAATTCAGTGAACTTTCCCTTTAAATGTTTTCATTCCATCTACCAGATTTTTTACCTTAGGAATTTTCTTTTATGCATTTAATTTTGTGTTGTGTTGTGTGTGACACAAATTTGTATAATGACATGGGTATGATATAGGTATTACAACGAGAAGGTGATTTATGAGGACATTTTGAGTGTCCCCATATTTCAAAAGGCTTATAAATAATTCAGAATGAGTTTTTATGAAAATCTAAAAATGCCGAAAGTTTCCTGTAAGGGGTAGTAGGTTTAGGTGTAGGGTTGGTGTAGGGCAATAGAAAATATGGTTTGTACAGTAGAAAAACCATTACACCTATGGAATGTCCCCACAATTCACAAAAACAAACCTGTGTGTGTGTTCTGGTATATATGGTTTATGAGAACACAAATGTACAGTTTGTACAAATGTGCAGTAGAAAATACAGTTTGTACAGTATAAAAACCATTATGCCTATGGAGAGTCCCCGTAAACCACAAATGCAAGTGTGTGAATGAATGAATGTTGTTTATGCCCATTTTTGCATGCCAAATGCATAACTAAGGTCAGGTCGTGAAATGAGTCTCTTTCCTTGACATTTCAGAAGAATCTCTTTAGTGTTTTGCTAAAACACAATCAGGGTAACAACTACAGTTTAAGCAAGATAACAGAATGATGAATGCTTGTACAGCTAGATGGTAGGAAATCATGTTTGATTGCATATCTTACTTTATTTCATTCCTGTATATCCATCCAACATTCTCTTATCTTGTTTGTGCAGCTCTGTATAAAATGACTTGGAAGTTTTTAATGTGCAAAGACGGTGGGATTCAAATCCTGATCTGAAATTTAATTTTTTATTTTTTACATTTTTTGTACCATGCGAAATTGCAACTTGAACTAGACAGTAATCACCATATATTTATCATGCAAGAAAAGGCACAATTGACATTTTATTATGGTTATGATGGGAACCTGTATGACGTTTTCTTCAGTGGAACACGATGACATGAGGGTGAGCAAATAATGCTGCAGAATTTGTATTTCACTGAACTTTCCCTTTAAATGTTTTCATTCCATCTACCATATTTTTAACCTTAGGAATTTTCTTTTATGCATTTCATTTTGTGGTGTGTGTGTGTGTGTGACACAAATTTGTATAATGACATGGGTATGACATGGGTATTACAACGAGAAGGTGATTTATTATGGATTTCCATTTTAAAGGAAATAGTTCACCCAAAAATAAAAGTTTTGTTAACATTTATTTACGTCCTCATGTTGTCCTGAACCTGTATGACGTTTTCTTCAGTGGAACACGATGACATGAGGGTGAGCAAATAATGCTGCAGAATTTGTATTTCACTGAACTTTCCCTTTAAATGTTTTCATTCCATCCATCAGATTTTTTACCTTAGGAATTTTCTTTTATGCATTTAATTTTGTGTTGTGTTGTGTGTGACACAAATTTGTATAATGACATGGGTATGATATAGGTATTACAACGAGAAGGTGATTTATGAGGACATTTTGAGTGTCCCCATATTTCAAAAGGCTTATAAATAATTCAGAATGAGTTTTTATGAAAATCTAAAAATGCCGAAAGTTTCCTGTAAGGGGTAGTAGGTTTAGGTGTAGGGTTGGTGTAGGGCAATAGAAAATATGGTTTGTACAGTAGAAAAACCATTACACCTATGGAATGTCCCCACAATTCACAAAAACAAACCTGTGTGTGTGTTCTGGTATATATGGTTTATGAGAACACAAATGTACAGTTTGTACAAATGTGCAGTAGAAAATACAGTTTGTACAGTATAAAAACCATTATGCCTATGGAGAGTCCCCGTAAACCACAAATGCAAGTGTGTGAATGAATGAATGTTGTTTATGCCCATTTTTGCATGCCAAATGCATAACTAAGGTCAGGTCGTGAAATGAGTCTCTTTCCTTGACATTTCAGAAGAATCTCTTTAGTGTTTTGCTAAAACACAATCAGGGTAACAACTACAGTTTAAGCAAGATAACAGAATGGTGAATGCTTGTACAGCTAGATGGTAGGAAATCATGTTTGATTGCATATCTTACTTTATTTCATTCCTGTATATCCATCCAACATTCTCTTATCTTGTTTGTGCAGCTCTGTATAAAATGACTTTGAAGTTTTTAGCGTGCAAAGACGGTGGGATTCAAATCCTGATCTGATTGTTTTATTTTTTTATTTTATAAAGTACCATGCCAAATTGCAACTTGAACTAGACTAGTAATCACCATATATTTATCATGGAATAAAAGGCACAATTGACATTTTATTATGGATTCAATTACTTTCCTTTTAATAAATAAGTATAAGGTTATGGATTTCATTTAAATGAATGCCAATTTAGTGCATTTGAGTGAAGACGGGTGTGACGGTTTAAATCATCAGTGAATAAGAGAACTTTAGCCTCTTAGGTCAGAGGTCATTTGTCTGTATGTGTCTTTGCGTTACACGTGGCCTTAGGCAACGGCAATCTGTTGTTTCTCCTCTCTGTTGAACAGGTTTCCTGTTGAACAGCTTTAATGTGGGTCAGTGTTATTGTGGCCCTTCCACACTTCCTCTGCTGTGTCAGTTTGAGGATAAAGCTGAATGTGGAGAGGATACGAGGAGTGCTTGTCTTTAAACCGCTACGGAGAAACTCCAGCCATGAGCTAGGGAAATGTGATGCTTAAGTTTGATCTCTGTTATTAAACTGTCACTATTTATTGTTTTGGCAAAATAATAATTTGCAAATTAATTTGACAATAAATTAAGTAAACATCAAAGGAATAGTTCACCCAAATATGAAAATTTGCTGAAATTTTCAGGCCATTTAGATGAGATGAGTTTGTTTCTTCATTGGAATAAATTTGAAGAAATTTAGCATTACACCTCTTGTTCACCAATGGATCCTCTGCAGTGAATGGGTGCCGTCAAAATAAGAGTTCAAACAGCTGATGAAAACATCACTGTAATTTACAAGTAATCCACACGACTCCAGTCCTTCTATTAATGTCTTGTGAAGTGAAAAACTGCATGTTTGTAAGAAAGAAATCCATCATCAAACTGTTGATTCTGGCTAAAATATGAGAACCCTATCCATAATATTGCTCTCTCCAGTGTAAAAGTCATCTTGTCTGAATCAGGAGAGAAATATGCACAGATCAATTACCATTTGCAAGATTGCCTTTTTCAAATTGCAAATAAAACTTATACAATTTAATTGTATTTTTTGTGTGCGTGTATTTTCTCTAAAAATTAATAGTTTTCTTTTAGTGTTTGATTATCTAAATGTAATAATTTCAATAGCTAGGTGAACATATCTGTGTATGGATCCTGCAGGTGTATGCAGTTGGAGGTTATGATGGGCAGACTTGTCTCAGTAACGTGGAGGTGTATGACTCCTTCTCCAACCGCTGGACTAAGGTGGCCCCCATGAAAGAAGCCGTCTCCTGCCCGGCGGTCACAAGCTGTGCGGGAAAACTTTTCGTCATTGGAGGAGAACCTTATGAAAACAGCTGCTCCAGTAAGGTGAGTGAGAAACCATGCTAAAATACTCAATACAAACACACAATATATAATTAGGCAGGGCTCATCTACAAACCTAAAAGGTCTTTCTCCTTCACCTAAAACACTGGTAATGCAGTTTAGGCCTGGTGACTTTTCAGTGCTGACAGACCCTTCCAATAGTGCTCTAGAGTAGGTGTGTTTGGATAAAAAAAAAAAAAAAGATTTTTGTTTGAGAACAGACATACGTGTGGCCTTTTAAAGGGGTCATATGATGCGATTTCAAGTTTTCCTTTCTCTTTGGAGTGTTACAAGCTGATTGTGCATAGAGAAGATCCCTGAAGTTGCAAAGACTAAAGTCTCAAAACCAAAGAGATATTCTTTATCAAAGTTAAGACTGCCACGCCCCCCTAAAATGGCTCGTTCTAACATGCCCCCACATATCTACCTCACTATGTGGAAATATTAGCATAATGCCACCCAAATGTTCACGCAAAGAAAGAAGGCGTGGTTTCAGTAACCGCAGTTAGTGTTGAAGCAGCCATGTCAGGGAGACGCTGTGTGTTTCTAGGCGAAAGCAAAAGCACTTTATTTGGCCTTCTGAAAGTAGATGCATTTAGGAATCTTTAAGATTACTTACAACAGAACAGCAATGCATTTTATGGACAACCATTTCGTGAACCTAGGAGAGGAGGTAATTCTGACTTTGCTATGACAATCTGGCGCTTCTGAATCAGCTACTGTTTTGTTATTGGTTTAAGTATTTGCTATTGACTGTTCAAATGCGGAGTTTTGCGCATCGTGTGTGTGTGTGTGTGTGCGTGCGCGCGTGTGTGTGTGTGTGAGAGACAGAGAGAGAGGGAGAGAGACCAGCTTCATCACTGTGTCTGTCACACGACTGTGTTCCCCTTCCGGGCTCTGTCTTTACATTTATTTTGAAAGATGAAGCTCGCGATTATGGCAAGGGACGTTACATTTCCGACGAGTGCTTGCGGTGTTCGGCCAATCACAATGCACTGGGTCAGTTGGCCAATAAGAGCAGACTTCGCTTGTCGGAAGGAGGGACTTTGTAGAAAACGAAGCGTTTGAGAGAGGCGGGGCATAGAGGACCTACAATAATGTACAGTATTTGAAAAATAATGTGTTTTTTGAACATTAAAGCATGTCAACATATTCTGTTACACCAAATACACAAAATAATGATCTTTAAAAAAAGCATCATATGCCCCCTTTAACAAAAATTTTTTTAATTAATTTTTTTTTTTTTTTGTCTTTGGCTCGGCAAATGTAGTCGCATCCCATATTTCCTTAAACCTGTCAATCTGATACATGTAATAACCACACGTTCAACTTCAGTAAGTTTTAAATTATACTGTCATCTGATTTTCCTGTTCGATATGATGCCTTCATGGTGCAAATAGACCATAACCAGAGCAGCAGAGAGTTAAACCAACCAGTCACGCCGGCTCTGCTCTGAACCCCAGTGAGTGGCGTGTTTGGACTAGGCTGAACTGGTTTGCTAGTAAAGTTGTTCTCCCTCAGACATTTTTGATTAGTTTCATATGGATTTGTCACTTGAGTATTGTTTTGGTTTTTGGTTAGGATGCTTTTTTAGAAGGTAGCTGAAGATAGCTAAACAGCCAGCGAAGCAGCTCACTAGGGTTTGTCATAATGATTGTATCTTATATTTGACTAATTCTCATTTTAATGTAATTATTTTCTCATATACACTACTGTTCATAAGATTTTGTAATGTTTTAAAAAAAAAAACTTCAAGATTGCATAAATACAGCAAAATAGTAATATTTTGAAATATTATTGACATTTAAAATAACTATGTTCTGTTTTAATATATTTTAAAATATAATTTATTCAGTTGGTGGCAAACCTGAATTTTCAGCATCATTACTCCAGTCTTTAGTGTCTCATGATCCTTCAGAAATAATTTTAATATGCTGATTTGCTGTTCAAGAAACACGTATTATTACTATTATCAGTGTTGAAAACAGTTGTGCTGCTTAATACATTTCTGAAACTGTAATTTGTTTAAGGATTCTTTGATATGTGTATGAGATTTGTGTATGAGAGGGGTCCTGCTGAACTCTGTAATGTGCCTCATGAAACCCCTAAAATGTGGGCATCTTTTTGAACAGAAAGGCTGCTAACGGCAGATGGGGAGTTGAATGTGTGTGTTTGTGCAGGTGGACTATAACCTAGTGGACAGGTGGGCCTGTGTGCTAAGCTTTTTGTCCTCAGACACTGCTGCCATCTCGGGTAACATCTCACATGGGTTTCTCTCATTGAATTTCCAGTGCTCAGATTACTGCATTTTTTACTTGCCATCTGGAACCGAAAGAGAAAGAAAGAGAAATACATGAAAGGGAAGGATCTGATATAGTTTTACACAAAGCTCTCTTATACAAAATGTTGCATGTTCTTCCATATAAGTGCTGCATCTGTCATCTGAGAATTTGCAAATGGTGTCTCTTCAACAATATATCTTTAATCTCTGTCAGTGTGCATGTCTTCAGTGACATTCATATTGTCAATCTTTCTTGAATCTATACATCAGCCAGCACAGAAAAAGATTGTTTACTCTAAAAAGTGCAAATATTAGATTTAGTTTGTTCTGGTTTTTCGCCCGCGGGCCCTGTTCTCTGCTTTTAGCTTATTAAATGGGACATTGTGCAGATGACTAAAAGGAATTTACAAAGGGATTATGACAATGGTATTTGATCACCGTTATAATGCCTGTATGTTCATGTTAAAAAAGTAAAGGAATGTTTGTTTAATTTCTGTGTATGCACACACATAAAGTGTCAAAGTTACGAATAAACAAGCAAATAAATAAAGTTCATAAGCTGAAAAGAAAGACCCAGTGCTGTTATTCTTAACCGATACTGTTAAAATCTCTCTTTTTTTCTTTTTCTTTTTGTTACTCAAAACTGAAATAAAATGAAGTAGAAATATTAAATGAAGAACTTTAAACTTTGTCTTGGCAGCTAACTGAAATAAGTTCTAAATAAGTACTTAATAAGTACTAAAATGACTGAACTGAAAAAAAAATATTTCTGCATAGAAATACAAAACAAAAACTAGTATGGAAAAAAAATATGATCAAATGTCAAAAGTATATACAAAATTACTAAAACTAATATTAAAATGAAAAATTTAAATAAACACTAATTCAGAATATTACAATAATGGTATATAGACGATACTAAAATAACTAACTAATGATAAAATAATGAAATGAAATGGTTTATATATAGTTTAGAATTTTAAGGCTGTTCAAAATTATAAAACAACTTTTCTCCGTTGTGTTTCAGGTCCAGTGTTATGACCCAGAGTCAGACAGCTGGCAGCTGAAGGCATGTATTCCCATCACCAAACCCAATATCTCTGCCATTTCTCTCAATCACCTCATCTACGTATGTGGTGGCCTCACCAAGTCCATCTACTGCTACGATCCTTCACAGGACCACTGGATACATGTGGGCCACACCTTCAGCAGACAGGTACCTGAAGCCTAGTGAAAACCTCAAAGTTCCTGTCATTTTGTCCCATATACTGATTATATTCTTGCATATTTTGTTTGGTTAGGAGAGTTGCGGTATGTCAGTTTGCAATGGAAAGATCTACATCCTGGGTGGACGGGGAGAAAATGGCGAAGCCTCTGACAACATCGTGTGCTACGACCCGGCCTCTGGCATCATCACATGCACGGCTGCTATGCCTCGTCCCATTTCCTACAAAAAAAAAAAAATGTTTCCCCATTCGTAGCGATTGTCCAAGCAAAAGCAACTACATATGTTACAGTTTACAGGAAGTTCTGAATTACAAACTGAATTTATTGAAATGTTCGAGTTCCCAGCATGGATTGAAATATGAGTTATGTGGTTACAATAAGGATTATTGTTTAGCTGTTTGCTGACATCTTGTGTATATAAAACTATACCTGTATATCTTTGCTTTAAAGATGATTTATATACTAGAAGCAAAGATAGCATATATTAAGTGTTCTATAAAACAAATATACTCTACAAAAGAAAAATGAAAATGTACTGAACACAAAATATGTATTTGCCTTGATGAATTAGGCATTTAGCATTTAATGAACTTTCATATTCAAATAAGTGTATATAGTTTTATTATTATTATTATTCATTTTTTGTCTTGTCTGAGATTCAGAGTTTTTCTTTTTTAATTACTCAAGAAATTCTATAACCACTTGTGAACCCATTGTGAGCTCATATCTAACCCAGATAATACCTGGCAATTGTTCATTTCATTAGCGCTGGAGCCATGACCATCTTTACAACTGGTCAAGATTTTTAAATTCAGTTCAAACTGTTCGTCCTGTACTTGTATACATGTTTCAGCCCATGCCTACAGGCCCAGACTGTTTGCATTTTCTGTGCTAATTTTGAGAGGAAATCTGCAGAATGTATTTAAATGTTGTACAAATCTTTTAACAGAGCGGAGAGTTACTATAGTGTTAATGGTAGCTAAAGGCATTTTCAAATGAACCAAAATAATATATTTTTAAAATCAGTATTCAGTTGACCTCTAAAACCTTATTTTCTTTAAGCATAAGCAAAAGGACAGAACAGAAAAGAAAGACCTTCCCTTGAGCGCTGATTTCTCTCAAGGTGTCAAGGCATTGTTGCTTTGTGATTGTAGGTTCATACCCGAGGCAATGTTTCATGACAGTTGCAACTGTTAAAAGTGCCTTTGGCTTTGTAAAATCTGATTCTAGCTAAATTAAATCGTTTTGCTCTGGCATGACAAATTAAACTTACTGAGAAGTTTCCTTTATGAACGGAAATATGGGATGAGAAGCAACAAGCATGATGAAAATGTGAATTCCTGTAATGTTCATTATTAGTCAAAGTGGAGGCCCTCAGGTGATTAAGGCCGAAGTGTTGACGTGTAAAGAGCTGCTTGGAATGGATGACTTAAGCACTATTTTATGAGAAAAGAAAAAGATACAAGTAGTCATGACTGTGAAATTGCAAATACAAATAAAGTGGACATGATATGAAAAATATGTCAAATGTTTCTTAACATGTAGGTGTATCGTGACTTTTTTTTAAATCAAGGTACACAACAGTGTTATTTTAGTAACATTGAGATACTATTAAAAATGTTATTAATATTTTGAATCCGTTTTTATTTTAAAATTTTAGTCATTTTGTTGTGGCTTTTTTTTTTCATTTTTAGTAGTTTGTTGTTGGTTTGTGGTTTTTTAATATATGACTATATAGTTTTTGTTAATTTAATTTCAGTTTGAGTTTGAGTTATTTTAGCACATCAAGTTTAAATGAGAAATGTTGCAATATACAACTGCTATCTACCTTCACTACACTCTTAAAAATAAAGGTGCTTCACGATGCCAAAGAAGAACCTTTTTGTCTAAATGGTTCCATAAAGAACCTTTAACATCTGAAGAACCTTTCTGTTTCACAAAAGATTAATTGTGGGCGAAAGAAGGTTCTTCAGATTACAAAAAGGTAAGAAAGAGATGGTTCTTTAAAGAACCTTTGACTGAATGGTTCTTTGTGGAACCAAAAATGGTTCTTCTATGGCATCGCTTGAAGAACCTTTTGAAGCACCTTTATTTTTAAGAGTGTATACTGCAGTACTGCCACAGTCATTTTTATAAGTAGTTGCCAAAAAATGAAAATGTATTTAATGCCAGAGTAGTACATATGTGCTTTTTGCTTTTTAAACATGCCTGAGCAGAATTACACTTCTGACTTCATGGTGAGATGTTGCTGTAAATGTGGTTTTCTGCGCCACTCTTTGGTCAGGCTCGGATATAGCATGGCCTAACTCGGTTCAAAATGTCCATCTATTTTCTAGCATATACTGACTGTCTCCTTGCAGACTATAATTTTAAGAAATGCACTATTGGGACTACATGTAAATAGAACATAGTTTATTTGCTCCTGGCAGATCCTTGAGATGAACTGAAAGCTTAAATGCGTGATGTTAAGCGGCAGGTAGGCAGTGTGCGCCTTGAACCAATGTGATACTGAAATCTGAGGCAGATATTTGCAAAATAGATCATTTGAAAAATATAATATATCATATTTTAGTTCTCTGCTCAGGGGTTTTCAATCTTTTAGATGGTACAGACCTCCAAACATGGTGATTCTCAACCATAATTTAAAAATTAATTAATCTATATTGTTTGAGTTTCTTGTATAAAGACCCAATTTATATTGTGAGAAATTAATCATAATAATAATAAATAAGTTTCTATTATGTTACATCATTACTTTTGTTTCCTATTCATTAAAGTGCTGTTAGATTTATTTATTTATATTTATTGTATTACTTATTACTCTAAATATTTCCACGGACCCACTGGAGGCCCCTGGATCCCAGTTTGAAACCTAATTTAACTAGTTCTAATCTACTAACTAATCTAGCTCATTTAAACCGCGCGCTCGCTGCGCTGCTCTGCGCTGTCTCCTGCACGAGTTCGTGTGTCCTCGCGAGACTTTCGTGTGCGCGAGACCAACCCAAGCTAACGGCTAAACACCTCACCTTTAAACATCTCACCAGCAAATTCGGCGTACGTTCAACGTGTAAATAATCACACCGACCACTTTTGTGCGTGTTTACGTCACGTTTTGCGCAGTTTAGAAAAGCGTCAGTGGTGAGAGTTTTACAATAACTGCTTAAAAAGCTGTTGTTTTGTTTAGCGTGGTCTGTATGTCCGATTGGCAGCGTCTTCTTTCAGTTTTTAGTTATTTTGAAACCTCTGCAACAACTAATAGCAGTTTGTCAAGGAAATGTAATAACACTTGTATGCTCATATACTAGGGCTGTGTTTCAAAATCTAGCAAGCTGCCTACCTAGGACGCACTTTTAGAACATTATAAGCAAGCAGGTAACTTAAGCAGCCAACTACGTTTTGAGACTCAGCCTTTGTGTGCGGCTGTATACGTTTGTTGTTGTTGTTTATGGGGCATGTTGTGTACTGTGTCTACAGTCCAGCCAATGAGTGATCATGTCTGGGGTGAAAAGGAAAATAGAGGACAAAGATCCTGACTATGAGGACATCACTCAAGTGCAGGAGAACAAGAGGAGTAAAGTGGTGGAGCAGAATGGTAAGATTAGGTTCCTAACAGTGATGTAAAGTATTACACAAGTTGTTTTTTAATATGCTTGTTTGATTTTTACCAGCCTGTGAAGCTGCTGTGCAGAAGATTGAAGCGATCATCAAGGATCAGTTTTCTCTGGAGATGAAAAATAAAGAGCATGAGATCGAGGTCATCGGGCAGGTAATCGTCTGTCCAATACTCACTTTATTTAAGGACTAGCCGTGCTTTGTTAGTCCAGAAGTACTTTAATCATGGTGTAACAAGTGCTAAGAGTCTGTATTGAGAGATCACTTCCGGCGCTTGCGTAAACTACGCCAGAGCGCGTAGACACCTCACGCACTGGATGCCGTGCGCGCGCCCAAAGACAGTTGGACATAGTGGTGTATTAGAGGTAAAAAATTATATAAATACTGTTCGGTTTCTGGCACAAACCGATCATTTCGTGTCTTAGGACATCAATGTGTCGTCACGAGCCGCAGGGTTTAATTTGGATTTGTCTGTGCATGTTTTTTTTTACTCTCATAGATTTTGTTACCATTGCCATGCATTATACGACTGATAGACTGCAACGGCTGGAGTTAAAAATCATAATTTGTGTTCTACTGAAGAAACAAAGTCACCCACAACTTGGATGCCTTGGGGGTAAGCAGATAAACATCAAATTTTCAAATAAAAGTTTGTAATTTTGTGATTCACCTTGTAGCTGGTTGGTTTGGTTCATAACTTTTAACTCTTAAACAAATACTTTTTTTAAAGGGGTCATATGATGCGATTTCAAGTTTTCCTTTCTCTTTGGAGTGTTACAAGCTGATTGTGCATAGATAAGATCCCTGAAGTTGCAAAGACTAAAGTCTCAAAACCAAAGAGATATTCTTTATCAAAGTTAAGACTCTGCCACGATTCTGTTACACCAAATACACAAAATAATGATCTTTAAAAAAGCATCATATGACCCCTTTAATATCTCTATGGGATTTGAATGAATGGAAAAAATACTTCTGGAACCAAGGTTGCTGAAAAGTGGGCCAACAATGTTGCGCTTAATATTTGTAAAAAACAACAAACTTTTGGTTTTGCTCATTCTGCATGAACATACAACATATATTCAGTTTTGTTGCTGCTTTGTAGAATTGTCTTCTGACTCTAAGCCCAAACAGTTGATTACTGACTTAATTTGCTTCCAGGCCTCTAAGAGTGACCCATCTGTGCTGAACCACCCTGCCATAAAACGCTTCTTGGATTCCCCCTCCCGCTCCTCGTCTCCACTGAACCAGAATTCAGAGACGCCATCACAGGTCCACTCTGAGACCGAATCCCTCAGCCAACATGGCGAGGCTGGGGAGAGGGAGACGGACAGTGGGAGAGAGGATGGCGCTCCACGTGAACGACGACCTGGCAGGAACACAGGAAAGGTTAGTGGCCCACACAATGTCAAAACATTTAATAGGTTTTTAAGATGTAGTAAAAATACTGCAAAACCTGATTGAATTAGTAGTAAAATAATTAAACTGCAAGAGGTTGCGTTACAGTAGTTTGACCATGGTTAAAGCAATAGTTCAATTTAAAATGAAAATTTACTGAAAATGTGCTCACCTTTAGGCTATCCAAGCTGTAGATGAGTTTGTTTCTCCAACGGAACATATTTGTTGAAGTTTAGCATTACATGACTTGCTCACCAATTGATCCTCTGCAGTGAATGGGTGCCGTCAGTCAGAGTAATCACAGTAATCCATATGAGTCCAGTCCATTAATTAATGCCTTTTAGGGCTGCACGATTAATCGAAATTAAATCGCAAAGGCGATAAATCGCGATTAGGCAGAAGCTGCGATTGTCATGCGCATCTTTCAGTGAAGCACAGTTCTGTGATAAGTAGTAAATCTCCATCCGAAGCCCAGAGGGCGCTCTCGTGCTGAAACTCCAAATACGCCCCGCAGAAGAAACCCAGGAAATGCCTATAGCGGTTGCTGAATAAACAGAAGATTTAACTGCTTTCATTAATTCAAGGTGACTAATAAACACACGACTACGACTATATATGGTTTATCTGAGTTCGTCTTATTATAATTTTTATTATAATAAAGTATATAATAATGCAATGCTAATCGACATAGCCTTTAACACTACTTAGAATACTATGAAATATGTTGCGTGCCTTATTCTGTGTAAGAAGCCACATCATCTCACAGAAGGATTTATTTCAAACACTTGACTGACATTATGAAGTGAGTTTGGAGTAAAAACATGTTAGTAAATGTGGTATTTTCACAAGCTTTCAGATGCTGCTCCATCTGAAAGCACGTGCTGGAGATTTACTACTAATCACAGAAACGGCTTTACTGACAAGATACGCATGACAATCGCATTCGATTAATCGTGCAGCCCTAATGCCTTTTAAAGTAAAAAGCTGCGTGTTGCCTGAATCAAGAGAGAAATATGCACAGATCAAAACTGTTTACAAGTGAAAACAGTACAAAACAGTTCTAAACAAACATGTGGGTGGATTTTTGATGTGAGAGAACAACAGAGGACGGATTTTTTCACTGGAGAAAGCACTCGGGATTTGGCAGAATCGACAATTTAAAGTAAAAACTTCTTAATGGATTTGTTCATTACAAACACACAGCTTTTCACGCAAGTGATGTAATTCTAAATTTAAAGGGATAGTTCACCCAAAAATGAAATTACCCCATGATTTGCTCACCCTCCAGCCATCCTAGGTGTATATAACTTTCTTCTTTCAGATGAATACATTAGGAGTTACATAAAAAAATGTCCTGGCTCTTCCAAGCTTTATACTGGCAGTGAATGGTGGTCAAGATTTTGAAGCCCAGAAAGTGTGTCCATCCATCCATCATAAAAAGTACTCCACACGCCTCCGGGTTGTTAATAAAGGCCTTCTGAAGTGAATCGATGCGTTTGTGTAAGAAAAATATCTGTATTTAAAACTTTATAAACCATAATCCCCTGCCTAACTGTCGTATGTGCACTCACGAGAGAGTGGCATTCCAGTGGATGATGTAGGATGTAGGCGTAGTGTAAGCTCCGGTGAGAATATGCATCTTGCGAGAACCAAGTTTTGTTTACAGCAAAGGAAAACCAGTCTCCTCTTGGCTTATATTGAAATCCTCCAACATTTTTCTTTACAAATCCTCATTTTTTACTTCTAATTCGTGACCGGTGTTTTGTTTTGCCCTCTCCTCTGTGCTTCCGCGTTCCTACGTCATCCGCTGGAACGCCACTCTCTTGTGAATGCACATACGGCAGTTAGCGGAAACTAGAGATTACGGTTTATAAAGTTTTAAATATGGATATTTTTTTTACACAAATGCATCGATTCAGCTCAGAAGGCCTTTATTAACCCCCCCGGAGCCTTGTGGAGTACTTTTTGTGATGGATGAATGCACTTTATTTTGCTCCAAATCTCGACCACCATTCACTGCCATTATAAAGCTTGGAAGAGCCAGGACATTTTTTTATGTAACTCTGATTGTATTCGTATGAAAGAAGAAAGTCATATACACTAGGATGGCTTAAAGGTGCGTAAATCATGGGGTAATTAAAATTTTTGGGTAAACTATTCCTTTAAAAGCGTAATGAAGAATCAAATTAGATAAAGCCGTTTGAGGTACTGTGAAAACAGAATATACATGCATTAGTATATTAGCCGATGACCGATAAACGTCATGATGTTGAGCCGGCATCATGATTTCCTCCCCATTCCCCCCGCATCCCAATACCGTGTTCGGAAAGAAAATGACGTGTAGGCGGACCCCCTAAAGGGAATAAATACGAGATGGGAGGAAAATATATAAATTTCAATATTTTTCCTCGCAGTTATGTAATTGGGTAATTATACTACATATTTCGGCATCAGGTAGCCGCTATTATACCTGGCATTGAAAGTGGCATCGTGCTTTTGAATGCACGATTGCTTTTAGTTTCACTTTCACTTTCGAGATCCGCGATCGCACGTATTCTGTTTATACTATGGAGAGGCAGTACTTGCCACACATTTTATATGTTTGTCAGGGGTACTGAGGATCTGCAAATCATTCGCCATCGTCTTCAGTCATCTCTCCTTACTCTGTTTATGTGGTAAGTGAAATTTTATGTACTGTAATGTAACAGGCAACCGTTACACCGTGTCTACACCGGACGCAACCGTTGTCGTGTTGCACAGCGCCGCATCAGCTAAAGTCTGTCTACACTGGACGCGACAAAGCGACTGTGGAAAATAATTTGAAATTTGTGTCAGCACGTCATAAATAGAACGCAGCAGCAGTTTACTGTCGGGGATTTGTCGTGTCGTGGCGTGGCGTGGCGCGCCGCACCGCATCCAGTGTAGACCACATCACTGATTATAATGAGTTCTATAGACTGATCTATATATAACCCCAGATCGTATTTTACCCATAAATTGAACATTGCTAATGTAAAACCCCTTCAGAAAATCCTGAAGGATTGCATGGCTTCAAAATGCTACAGAACTGTGACTGTATGCCTACGTTACTTGATAGTAACAGTTTTTTTTTATTACATTCCCATGTGTAGGACACATTTGGTGTACCATCGTCCTTAGAGCGGCACGTTACTTACCACACTACAGGAGAGGAGGCTTCTCGACTCTACATGAAGAAAACCATTGTTGTGGGCAACGTATCTAAGTATGAAGCATTACAATTGTTTCTTTGCCATTATTTCACAGATAGATGAGAATGCTTATGATGAGAAATTATATTACTCATTTTAAAGGGGTCAAATGACGTTGCTAAAAAGAACATTATTTTGTGTATTTGGTGTAATGCAATGTGTTTATGCGGTTTAAGGTTCAAAAAACACATTATTTTCCACATAATGTACATTATTGTTGCTCCTCTATGCCCCGCCTTTCTGAAATGCGTCGATTTTTACTAGGGCTGCACGATAAATCGCATGCGATATTTAATGCGCATCTTGTCAGAAAGCCGGTTCTGTAATCAGCGGTAAATCTCCATCACGTGCGTGCATTCACATTGAGCAGCAATTTTTTGCGCAGCTCGTCAGTGAACAACGGCTCTGTGTAGTTAATGCTGCTCAATGTGAAAGCATGCACGTGATGGAGATTTACCGCTGATTACAGAACCGGCTTTACTGATAAGATGCGCGTTAAATATCGCATGCGATTTATCTTGCAGCCCAAATTTTTACAAAGCTCATTATTCTGAAAAGCGAGGTGTACGCTGATTGGCCAGCTATCCAGTGCGTTGTGATTGGCCGAATTCCTCAAACATGTGACGGAAATGTTACGCCCCTTACCATACTGTGATGCCGTCTCCCGGCACAACGAGACAAAACCAATAAAACCCATTAAACGAGGCATTTGTTGCATCCAGTGGGGACATAATTACTGATTATAATGACTTATACTGTCTTTTTACGCATTGCGTTGCGTATCGCGCTGCGTAAACATAAAACCATGTCTGCATTTGTGATCGAAGAAACGACAAACAACAAGTGCTACTCTACACTGCTCAAAACTCGCGTTTGAATCATCAGTGGAAAATTCTTTAAATATGTAAACGTACTTACAGGCTGTGAGTCAGAAGCGCCAGACTGTCCTTGTTGGAATTGCCCCACTTTATAGAAACAACCTTTGTGCACAGATGCATTGTAGGCTACTGGTTCAGGAAACAGTCCTCGTCCTCTGTAAAATGCGCTGCACACATCTGAATATTTGGGTTGAACTGTTCTGGAACAGTGTTGTAAATACAACTTAACCACTGATTTCTAGTTGTGTCCTCTTTTGGAAGGCCAAACAAAGTAGTTTCGCTTTCACAACGAAGCACACAGCGTATCCACAACATGGTTTCTTTGCGTGAACATTTGGGCGGCGTAATGCAAATCTTCCCACATCATGACGTAGATGTGTGGGGGCGTGTTAGATTGAGCCGTTTTTAAGAGGATGTGGTTGACTTAACTTTTATGAAGAATATCGCTTTGGATTTGAGACTTTAGTCTTTGCAACTTTACAGATCTTCTTTATGCACCAAGAGCTTGTAACACTCCAAAGAGAAAGGAAAAATTTAAATCGCATCATATGACCCCTTTAATTTTACTATATTAGCACGATGTCTGTTGCGGACATAGTGTGAACCCTGGGTGATTTGGAGAACATTTAATCATTTGTTTGTAGTGTACATTACCTTTATTCCAACAACCAGAGGCATTCTTGCCTAAATCTTTGTTATTGTACTAGAGAGATTTGATTTAGCACCTCTGGGAAGCTGAATGATGTTTGTGGTCCTCTGAACAATACTGGTCTGCCCTTGAGTAGGATGACTTATTCTTGGCTCTGCAACCTCAAAGGGATAATTCACCAAAAATGAAAATTCCATCATCATTCTGTTATTTTTGTCACCCTAATATCATTCTAAAACTATATGACTGACTGACTTCTGTGGAACACAAAAAGAAAGATCTGTCATGAACATGCGAAGGCAAAATACAATGTCAGAGGTTTTAAAAAAAAAAAAAATACAATTTTTTTATTTATTTTTTTAACCATTGTATGGCTTCTGAAGACTTTGAATTTAGCGCAGCTATAGTAAGGAGCTATGTTCGTTAAAATTGCATGGGAAAGTGTGATCGATACATTTTTATGAAGTGGGCAAGTAAATGATAACAGAATTTCATTTTTGATTGAACAAATTTTTCAAACTTTCATGTTTTTTGCTTCTCTGTCACAAGGGAAAAAATAGCTTCTGAATGAATGGTAACAGTTTGTTATTTGGACAGATGGTTTTATGAGACACAATATTTATTTCACTGAGCTTGTATTAATTTTTAAATGCATCACTTTCTCCGGAAAATCTCAGTATTATTTTTACGAAACCCAATAAACTTTCACATGGCACAAAGCAAAGCTTTAGTTTTCCCTAGGCAGAGATATAACTTCATTTATTCTGCATTATCACACAGTCCTCGTCTACTTTACCTCATATAATCCACTCGGAGCATGTGAGAGAGACACAAGTGTGTGTGTCTGCATATGAGCAATGATATAAGCTTATTTTTTTCTGCCTGCATAGATACTAAAGATCTTTATGAGCCAGATGCTTTTTCCCCCCAAGAAACTTGAAATGAAGTGCACACATCACATTACTGAGGCAGGTAGCTGAAAATACACAATGCATTCTAAGCTGAAAATAAACTCTCAACATGTGCAAAAATGCTACCATGTTATTACCTACTGAATCTTGAAGAAGAGTTTCAATATGTTTAACATGTTTAAATATAACTGGACAGTTGGCTGTTCTGACAGTTACTGGGAGATTCACATTGGCTTTTATCTCTGTCTCAGGGTCATGAACAGCAAACCTTCCCCAGCATGAGTGAATGTGTGTGTGCTACTATAAATTGATTTGAGTTAGATTTTTAGACTGATGTTGTTTCCTCTCTCTTTCAGGTATATTGCCCCTGATAAACGTGAGGAGAATGATCAGTCCACTCATAAATGGATGGTGTATGTTCGAGGTTCTCGTAAAGAGCCCAGTATCGATCATTTTGTGAAGAAGGTCTGGTTCTTCTTGCACCCCAGCTACAAGCCCAATGACCTTGTGGAAATCAGGTGTGTGTTTACTTTCAGTTGTGCTGCATAATATTTTTGTGCAAACTATGATTTTTTTTTTCAGGATTCTTTGATGAATAGAATTTTCAAAAGAACACGATTTATTTGAAATATTTTATTTGGTAACGTTGTCTTCACTTTCACTTTTGATATACTTAATGCATCCTTGATAAACAAAAGTAATTTTTTCCCCAAAGATTTTCCAAGTCTTTTTAAAATAAATATTGTATTTGAATATTTGAGCTCATAAAAAAAACGCATATTTGAATATTTGTTTATTTAAATGATAGAGAAAGGAAAAGGCATAATTTTTTTTTTTTTAGTTTTTGTCACCCTTTCTGAACAAGCTTATGATTAGGCATTTGTGTAAACAAAAAATATATATAAAGAGCAAAAGCAATGAAGCTCAAGGAAAGCAAATGGAAAAAAATAAAGCAGACTGTGCCAATTACAGTACAGAACGTACATACACTCGATTGGCCTATACACAAAGCTCTCTCTCTGAAACTTAAAGGAAGCATATGTCTCAAGATAATTTCGCTGTCAGATAAGCTCTCTTCTCGGCTCACTCGGGCTACAGCTGCGCTTACCTGCAGTCATGAATGCAATGATGGACAGCTGTCTTTCCTCAGTCGAGTGGGGTTTGGATTTCATGTGATTTCTCATTGTGGTGGTGGTATTATGATAACTCTGTTCAACTGATTCATTTGATCTAAAGTCATTCCATTTTGTGAGATCATTTAGTAAGATAATTTTGATCAAAGTAATTCCAAACTTCACGAGGCAGCCGACAAATACAATCAACTTGTTAATACGCTTCACAGCACCACCCAGTGCATTTAGTTATAACTGACTTTTAGTTTGTGTGCTTAGGATTAATCATGGATTCCCTGCATTTATGGCCTGCAAAGCAACACGTAGTAAAATTCTAATAGTGTTTTTATTTTTCGAATAATAATTACAGATCTAATATTTGAATATTCAACTGTTTGTGCTCACCTCTACTGACTACATTTTTTCCCTATTAGTGAAGATTAATTTTGCTCTGGGCCGCAATTCTCAAAAGCATCTAAGTAGATTGTAGAACCATTGCCACCAATGGTCTCTACGAGCAACTTAGCTCAGGATGCTTTTGAGAAATGCAGCCTATAGACTATATGCAGCCCTGTGGTGCATTTGTTAAGTTCAGCCTGCTGAGAGAGAAAGACTCTGGTTGTGTGTGTGTGTGTGTTTAGTGAGCCACCATTTCACTTGACCCGTCGAGGGTGGGGAGAGTTTCCTGTCCGCGTGCAGATTCACTTTAAAGATCAACGGAACAAACGTATCGACATCATCCACCACTTAAAGGTCAGAGACTTACTGACCGCTTGCATACGCACTCTCTTTGAACCCTTTTGTTGCCCTTTTCATCTTTCCTTTTCTCCCTCTTTATCTTTGTATTTATTTATGGGATATTCAAACAGTATTTATTTGAAATTTACTTAGAGGATTCCATTTATTTTGTGTGTGTGCAGATTGTGCATAATAGAATATGTCTGTACGAATCCATCCTTTATGTGGGATTCTCTGAGTCTAAAGGTGAAATGGTCACTTTTAAAAAGCATTCATTTCCTTTATCCTTTATCTGTTGTCACAGCAATCCCTTTTGTTATAGGTTAAAATAACAAAGATAAAATAAATGAAGATTAATCGAGATGTCAAGAAAAAAAATTGTTTGCAGATTAAGTATTTTCGTCCACCCATCAACCCCTTAATTCTCTGCAGCAAAGACTGTTGAGTGCTCTTTAATGTTTCTGTTATTGATCTTTTATTTGTTCTCCCTCAGCTTGACAGAACATACACAGGTTTACAGACTTTGGGAGCTGAAACGGTAAGACACCCTGAGCATCTTAATCTTTACATGAAACTTTTTATAAGTTTACATAATTAGGTTTTTTATTTTAAGATGAGAGATCCTAAAAATTGAGTTTTCTTTTTATTACGTACTACTCTACAGAAGCACAACTATCAAAAAAAAGAGGGCATGAATAGACATTACTGCTCAAGGAGACAACACACTATATTAAGAACCAGCGTATATGCTTTACAACTGGATCATTTGTGTAAATTCAGATATTGTTTTGTTTTGTGGGATATACAGTGGGTACGGAAAGTATTCAGACCCCCTTAAATTTTTCACTCTTTGTTATATTGCAGCCATTTGCTAAAATCATTTAAGTTAATTTTTTTTCCTCATTAATGTACACACAGTACCCCATATTGACAGAAAAACACAGAATTGTTGACATTTTTGCAGATTTATTACCTATTTTGTTAAATAGTTCCAGGAAGACAGTACAAAATTTACAAAAAATGCAGATTCTTGGTCATGTACACACATGTGCAGAATTACATAAGATCATCTTATTTATATAGAATCAAATTAGCACATCAAAACAGGTTGAAAGGCTAAAGGGACTGTAAATCCTCTGAGAAAATAAGAATGTTGTGTATGTCTGTCAGTTATCAACTTAAAGAAAGAGCACATGTCACTTACCTAAATGGGCAAGGAACAGAGGTCATGGTCTCAGTTGTGAATATAGTGATGAAAATGTCAAAGTCTTCAAGGTGGCAGCAAGCACACAACTAGAGTTATGAGTGAAAGTGTCAAAAGAAGATTTATTGTTGTTGTTCACTCGTAGCAAAGTAAAAAAGGAAATAAAATATGGTTTCTGACCATGATGCCACAGCATAATTTAACGCTGTAACTGATTTTCCAGAATATGTGTATAACAAGGTGTGTAGAAAATAAAAATTTTTACTCTAAGGAAAAAATAAAATGCTGAAAAAGATGGTTTATTTTAAGTTGCAGAACTCAGGGAGCAGAAAATTGCTTTTCAAGCAGGACGCATTATAAAGTGCTGGATTTTATAGTTCTAAAATGTTTTTGTGATCACAAGGTTTATTACAAGTGTCAAATATATCTTGATTAATCTTTAAAAGGCCAGTTTTTCTCTCTCTATTTCTTATTTCCTAAAGGTGGTGGATGTTGAGCTCCACAGAAACTCACTAGGTGATGACTTCATCCACTCTGCCCCCTCATCATCATCATCATCATCATCATCTTCCTCTCATCTGCTGTTTGTGGGCGGCTCTGGTTCGTCCTCCTCCACAGCTGCCCAAGGCTCTCGGCGGCCCTCCTCTCCCTCTCAGCACACTCATGATGATCAGCCCAGCTCAGATAGAGGTAGACAAAACACACAAATGCTTGTCCATCTCACAAGATGCCACATAGTAGCACAAAATAATTATGCAGTCTCCTACTGTGTTTTGGGATTATTTTGATTAAGGGGATTAGTAGGATGTTTGCACTTTATTGCATAAGCAGTGGAAGCTGTGTTTTGAAAATCGGTATCGGTCCAAGACAAGACCTTCATTATACAGTCCTTGCCCTAGTCACTTGTATGAAAATGAACTTAAATGTGTAAAAATGAATTATTGATTATATCTATTGATTACGAAATTGATTGTCGTCCTTCTTAATTCAGTTCCAGGTGTGACTGTCAAGAGTGAGTCAGTGCGTTCTTCATGTTCAGAACGAAATTCGCAGTCAAATAGGACTGAGAAAATCACCCTTGGTTCCCACGGAAACTCTGCCTTTCAGCCAATCACGGCCAGCTGTAAGATAATTCCACAAGGGCAAGTGCCCAGTCCCGCTGAATCACCTGGGAAATCATTCCAGCCGATCACGATGAGCTGCAAGATTGTGTCTGGTGAGTCTCACAGGTGCACAAAGAAGGTGGAGAAGACTAGAGTTGAAATGCAAGCAGTAAAATTCTCTATATACAGACTTTCATGTTGCTAGGGCTTTTTTCTGCTGGAGGTTTCAATTTTCTGGAGAAAAGAGACTGTCAGAAAGTTGTGAAACTCCTCTATAATGCGTTATAGATTTGCTGTCAGTGAGTGACAGCACATCTAAGAGGAGCTCAGTCTGATATGTCCTATTCTTGCCTTGCCAGACCTACTCTTTATAAAGTCTTGTCCACGTTGGGTCTTATTCTGTACAAGAACCGCCCACTTATACCACCATATCACTATCTCTGACATTTATGTATGATTGTCATGTTTTGCCCCCTAGTGACAGCCAAACTCAACTTTCAAATTGGTCATGAAGCAACTGTTCCATCACTTATTCACTATGGTAAAATGAATGAATATCGAATGTGTGAATATGTCCACAAAAAAGCATATGACTGCCAAAACAACTGAAAGAAAATCAGTCGATTTTCAAGGGATAATCGCAGGCCATCTGATTGGCATGAAAAAATTACCAAACTACCAGTTGTATCTTGTTTACTTACTAGTGCCTAACTTTCAAATAGTTGATGCTGTGAAACTCATAAACTTTGACAAATCTAGGAAATTACTTGACTTGTTGCAGTTTTGCATGAACTTGTATAAACATGACTGTGTTTCCCAATGACTTATTAAAGTGCCCCTATTATGCCATTTTTAAGGTTGCTAATATTGTTTTATGAGTCTCCTAAAACAGGTTTATATGCATGCAAGGTCAAAAAACACGTTAGTTTTCTCAAAAATTTGATTTAATTTTACCTAATTTCTAAATGATTCGTAAACGACTTACCTTGAGCCCTCACTGCTGTGATTGGTCAGATGGTGCAGTCTTTTGTGATTGGTCCAGAGCCGTAGAGAGATTGGCTCTGTATTGGTCTACAGCGTGTGTCGGAAACGAAATGCCCATTGCCATGACGGAATGACAGCCCTGGAGACTTGTCAATACATAGACAATATGGTATCGATTGTACATTTGTGTAAGAAAGTTGCGCACATCCCACAAACCCACACAGGGCTCAGGTGCAGGAAAAAAAAAAAAGAAGTCAAACTATAGCAAAAATACAAACGTATTGACCGCACACTGATGTAACTGCTCCATAAAAATAATTTATTGTGGCAATGTTTCGACCATCAGGTCTTCGTCTTCGTCAGGCCTACCGACTTCTGCCTGACGAAGACCTGATGGTTGAAATGTTGCCGCAATAAATTATTTTTATGGAGCAGTTACATCAGTGTGCGGACAATACGTTTGTATTTTTGTTATTGATTGTACCTTACCAATTTGAGTCTGATGATGAAATGGTTGAATTGGCTGATCGACGAGACTGATTCGCAAGCACGACTGGAGCAGGACCTTTCTCAGTGGTAAGTGTCAAGCGTTAACAAGTTTGTGGTAATTATAAGATGTGATAAAACAAATTTGCTCTCACAGCGTAGGATACAGCGTCTTCTCGACATGATGTTAACCACACGGAAAATGTACTGTTTGTGGGCGGGCAAGTTGGCAACGTAGAACATGGACATTATGCAAATGTGTTACTTCGTGACGTAGAGCCATAACAAAATAAGATTCGAATTCCTGATGACTCGTTTAGGCCGACTGATAGACAATAAATGTATTTATCATGCACTGTCGGCTTCACAACTTTGCAGATAGTTTATGTTCACATACAGCTACATGACACACTGCATGAAAGGTAATACTCGAAAAGGCATAATGGGGCACTTTAAAATGCTGTACTCTCTGACACTCAAACATTGTTTAAAGCCAGTAAATTGGTCTTGAGTTTGCCATTTTAAGGAAATTCCAATCATCAAACTCAGCTGGCTTGCTGTATAAAGATAAGACAAGAAAAGAAGACCATTGTAAAGATGCAAAACTGCTCTGTAAAGCATTACAGATTTGCAGTCTGTGTGACTCTGAAACATGATGAGAAGTTTATGAGGATCACACTGTAAATCTAATCATAGAAACACAATTTTTGTGTTCCAGGCTCTCCTATCTCCACCCCTAGTCACTCTCCTCTCCCCCGGACATCATCATCCACGCCAGTGCACATGAAGTCCAGCCCCTCAGTCATAAATAACCCCTACATTATCGTGGACAAACCAGGACAAGTCGTTAATATGGCTGCATCGACATCTGCAGCTACAGGTACAGGTACATACTCTCCTACATCCCTACACACAGAGTAACAATGTGTCGCTTTTACCACACAATAAATCACACTGATCTGAGTTTTGTCCAAATAGGTATTGGTTTCTTGGTTTCTATTTCATCTCCTTTATTTTCAACATTGAACAAATTCTGATTGACTGTTATTGTTGTTGAGGCAACATTCTGGTTTTAGGGAGGACAGTGAAAATACTTTTTATTTATTTATTTTTTGAAATCGTGCATGGGGAGCTTCACTCTGAGGTACACTCTTTCCCATGACTCGTGCTGTGGGTTTACAGGCCATCATAAGACCAGGTTGCCATAGCGACCACATCACTGAGAGTTTAGGAGTGTGTGGAGAATGCAGTTAATGTAACATTACTGTGTGTGTGTAAGAACAAATTCCACCTTCATGGATGCACAGCTGATGTGCTCCTCTCAAATGCTGTATCACCTATAACTGCATTCTGGCACCTCTGTTAACATCTTTACAACACACACGCACAGGCCTTCACAGAAACACACCTACATGCTCTCAGGGAAGATGTGTGTGGGTGGGTGGGTGGGTGGGTGGTCAGAGCTCTGTGCTGTGGTGCTAAAGCAACATAGTGACCATTAGAGATGAACAAAACAAAAACAAATGTACTAATACTACTTAAAACTTAACACTATTTTCTGTGCCATGACTGCCGGAATCATAGTTGTATTTTTTTGGGGCTTTAGAAAGTTGCTGGTTTTCAAAAACTAATGGCTGTCTATGTAGACAGCATTATGGGTCCCCATGAGTGCATTTGTGTCAAATGTAGAACACATGACGTGTTGGCAGGACACTTACGATAATTCTATTATGACCAAAAAAAATAAACTTTTCCCCCCCAGTACAAATACCTAAACACTCATAAAGATATTTTCTAAATTACCTGATAAATTGAAAACAATAAATTGAGTTTATGCTTAATACAAGAACAAATATCTGTCAATGAGGTATGAAAATGTTTCCCTTTCATTTAAGTTGATTTCTGAGCACACTAGCAAATATTTGTTCTTGTTTTAATTATATAAACACTTCATTTTGATCTGTTTAACAGGAAACAATTATCTTCTGTCATTTTACTTCTCAAGTAAATGTATTTTGATTTAAGAATTTGTAGACATTTGCACTGAAAAACAAGATAAAAAAAAATACGGAGGAACATTGCAGTGTGATCAGAAGGTACATTAAAATTAATTTCCATATTCTAGTGGTCGGAAGCAGAGGTATTTTCTTTGCTTGGTCTTAAAATGGTCTTAAACAAGTTTAAATTTACCTTCTAAAACTTGCAGAAATCCTGTTTACAGGTTTGATGCTGAAACTGAAAACAAGCCTTTGATGCCCTAAATGCTATCTAGGTACAGTAAGACACATGATTCAAACATTTTATTCAAAGATTTGAGCAGATCTTTCATTGCAAAAAAATGCTGTCTTTGTATCCAGCTCACTAAGTTTTAAAACGCAGCCAATCTCTTATGACTCTGCTGTGTTCTGATAAGGCCTCTGCAGAATTCATACAACGGCATGAAAATTAGCCATTAAAGAAGCCTGGACATCTTAGAAACAGCTGCTTTGAATTAAAACTAAAAGCAACATATAAATATTCTGCTACATGCTTTTATAAATTTTCAAGACATCGCCCAGCAATTAAGATTCCCTACAGGGAAAATGTATCTGTATTACATGAAGATGAGTGAAGCTATTTCACTGTCCTGATTCATTCAGTTGTCTGTGGGAACTTGTTATACAAATAAAAATCACCTTATAGAAATGAAAAAAAATATTTCTTTGAAATAACGGTATGTTATGACAACTTTAGTCATTTTAATTCCTTTTCCTATTTGAATGGAAATTAATTTGACTTTAAGTCTCGGGGTGTCAGAGCAGCTTCGGAAAATCACTGTATGCTTGTCTTGAGCTCTAAGATCTCTGTCTTTGTGTTACTGGAGAACAGTGCTTGTGAAAATCAGGCTGTGAATCTGGAGAAGAAGCTGCATGCCAACATCCTGGGGGATGGTGCATTATGAGATTTGGAGTAAATAAACTCCTTTGTTTGAGCATGGAAGAGCAGAGCTGCAGTCTTAACACATTTAGGTTAAACAATGAGCTGCAGAGTAACTATTCCATTGTACACAAAGATGCAGATAGAAGACCTCTTTGTGCCAAAATGATGCAAATCTTTGTTGAAATTTTGTTTTAAATTTCCGTCAACCTCTGGAAAAAAAAGTCTTAAACCTGTGTAAGAGCAAAAACCTCTGTCACACAGACTCATGATATATTGACACACAAAAAAATCACTAAGCAAATGTGAAAGAAAACACTCTTTTTATGCTTGTGGAAAGGGTCTATAGAAATGCATTGTGTTTGGTTGTTTGTTTTTGATTTTGTTGAGCTGCAGTAATTGTTTGAATAGGTCTTGAAGTTGGAATTAAATGGAAATTACATTTTCTAAATGCATGTTATTGATCTTGTTGTTAACAATTGATGCATGTTTCGATTTTAATTTCAAAATGTCATAACCTCATCTTCCAACTGACATCTCTCTGGTGGTGTATGTCAGACATCACGTTAAGCTCAGTTAAGCTGATGTACATATGAGTGAAAATCCATTTCACTCATATGTACATCACAATACGAAAAAAACACTTGCATTAGGAATTGGTTGTTTGTCAGATGAAGTGTCATACATATTTGTTATATCTGCTGTTTTCATGTGTTGATCTAAGGCAGTCCGTCGGCCAAGCAGAGCAGCACAGCCCATGGTGCTCGATCACCTGCTCCTAAAGTTCACACCAGCAGCTTCCTGTCCTCTGGGGTCAAGGTGAGACTGATAGAGTATATGTTTCTCTCTCTGTGAATGGATTTATTCAGTGCAAACCACATTTGATTGCTGTTTGAGTTCTTGCTGCTCAAGTCCAGCCATGTGTTTAGGAATTGTGAAGAAGAATTTACCTACTGGTAAATGTGCTTTGCTTCCCTTTAGCAGTCCATTAAAGTGGTGAGCATCTCTCTCTTGCTCCTACAAGGCAACTGAAGTGAGGTGTGGGTTGATGAGAAAACAATATCAGTAGAAATTATGTGGGTATTGTGAGTGAAATCACCCATAATTGAAAAATACAGATGTAGGCTGTTGAAAACAATGTGGCACAATCAGTTCCCCTTCAGGCAGATTAGCATGATGAATCAGTAGCCACACTGTAATGGAGCTTGTAAGCGGAAGGCATCCCTAAATAGGGATTCATTTGTCTGTCATTGTTCTATAGAGCTATATTAATATGGGTTCTGCTGTTCTTTATATTTATTTATAAAGTGAAAAGATAATGTTTGACTGAATCATATTCATACCGACACTTACGTATGTCTGTCCTTCTGTTGAACTGAAGAAAAACCGACTCAAATTAGGTGATGATCTCTCTGTGTCTCTCTCTCTATCTGGGTTATTCTTTGAGGGTGTTTCAATGTTTTCTGGACACTGCGGGCTAAATTATCACCGGTAGTTATTAATAGTTACTGCCAGGTGGTGCAGTAAGAGGTCTGCAGCAGCTGTGTGTGTATGTGAAGGTTTAAAATGGGACATCTATCTGTGGCATGATGCTGCTGTTTTTGCACAAGCTGTGCAGAGGACTGGAGTATTCCCAGAACACACACACACACACTTTTATGTGTGGACATGCAGTGGGAATGGCTCACAGATGTTCAGAATAGTCAAAAATAATTTGTGCTTTGTGTTTGGAATCAGTAAGGTTTTTGAAAGAAGTCCCTTCTCGCCAAGACTGCATTTATTTGATGAAAAAAAAATACAGTAAAAACAGCATATTGTGAAATATTCATACAATTTAATTTATTCCAGTGATGGCATAACTGAATTTTCAGCATCTTTACTCCAGTGTTCAGTGTCACATAATTCTTCAGAAATAATTCTAATATGCTGATTTAGTTCTTAAGAAACATTTCTTATTATTATCAGTGTTGAAAACCGTTGTGCTGCTCAATATTTTTAAAAGTCTTTACTGTCACCGTTAATCAATTAAATCCTGCTTTGCTGAGTAAAATAAAATTAATTTCTTAATCTTTTTTGGACAGTAGTTTGCTTAATTTTACAATTAGTCTTAATCTTAAAATTAGTTTTGTAAATATAAATTGTGCCTATATATGAATTTCTTAAACTATTCCATCACATGGATGTATGTGATAATATATTAATACAGTACTGTTACTGTTTAAAAAGCATCCCAGGAGGTTTAAGAACATGAACAGTGTACAGAACTATACAAATTTTATGTTGAATCAAATAAAATATTTCTTTATAAAGCTACTTTTTGTAATATCTATTTGATATTTTTCTCATTGAACAAAATAATGGCTTTCAGTTATCTTTTGGGGGTATTTTCACAGGCAAATTTATTTTGCAATTAATTAGGTTGATTAATTGCCACATCATGTAATTAATTGATCCTTCACAAAGACCCACCCCTCTTAGTTACTGTTGCTATGTCCAACAAGCCATGCCACTCTCATGCAACATACAGTATGTTTTCACGCAGTGAAAAATACATTGCAGAGCAAAGAGGACACAGACAACGCTCCGACAGACAGAGCAGGTTACTTTTTGAATGAAACAAAGTATCAGCATTCAAATTTGGCCTTTTTTTAAAAGAAATTCAGACAATAAATGCCATTTGGTGGCTCTTTAATGTGTTGTGACAGTTTACTGTAGCTCCTCAGTTCAAGCAGCACATGAACGAATCGTCTTTCTCTTCCTCTTTACTAGTTATAGCACAAAATAAACATGAATGAACATCAGAAGGTATCTTGTTTCAGTCGCGGAAAGACGTCGGTACCCAACTTTTTTTTTTTTTTACCCACATTAATGTACTCTCCTCCTGTCTGGTTTGTTTGTCGGACAAAACCGATTCAGCGTTATGACTGGTCAGATTGCCTGTCAATCAATCTCCCGGGTGAAGGGTAAAGAATAAGTAGCTGTATCAAATCTTTTTTTTTTTTTTTTTTTTTTTGCAATGTAGTTTCTAAAGGAACAACATTTGATTTTAAATTCAGATTAAGAGTGTTGTTTATATGAGAGATATGACAGTGATGTTGAGAATATGGGGTGTTTTGTTTGATGAAGTTTGTCAAAGTGAGCATTTTGCTGTGTGCTACTGGCAGGAAGTTAAGTTCACTGAGTTCATCTCGATGTTCAGCCTTTCCCTCAGAGAAGCATGTGTTTATCTTACTCAAGGGAATGTGTGATTCACTAAATTAACTTTGGATTGGATCACACATCCAATATATCTGAAAATATCGTTGACATTGAACCGGGAATCAAACTGATGGCTTTTCAGTGCACATCTCGAAGTAATATGACAAGCACAGAGTAATAAAAATGCTGTCTGTCTGTCTTAAGGTTATAATAAAGCAAGAACCAGGAGAGGTGCCCACCCAGCCATCACCACAGCAACAGGTTGTCTCCACAGCAACATCCCAGCAGCAACCGCAGTATGTGACAGTGAAGGGCGGTCACATGATAGCCATGTCACCGCAGAAACCGAGTGGGATGGGGACTGGAGGAAGTGCCACAACCAGCAAGGTTTTTATGAATGCTTTTTGTTTGTTTTGTTTTGTTCATCATTATGGTAATGTTCATTTTGACTATTTACGTTTTATAATTTAAGTGTTTCTACACCAATCATATAACGTTCTTTGCCTGTGTTTCAGTACCTAGTGAGCTGCTTACCTAAACATTTGGGCATCATGGCTCAAAGATTGTTCAGATGCTCTTATGATGTCCAAAAAATTATGTCTAGCTAGTTCCATACTTCAGTTCTTTATTTCTATAGTTTCATCCCTCAATGCAGGCCGTCCTGTCTGAGAGAGTTTTTGAAGCTGGAGTGCGCTGTGGTCATGCAGTCTAAACATATCTCAGGTCATTGTGTCTCTGTGGACCTCCTACTCATCTCTTTACTGTGGCCATTTTTAGCACCTGAGAGTCAAAGTCATTCAGACATCCTGTTTAGAGTCATTCTGTGCAAAAAAGACGTCTTAACTCCCTGACATTACAGTAGAGTCTTGAGCACATTTATTGCATATTTTTTTATATTGCTCATTAGATCGCTGGGTTTTAAGTCAAGCCATTTTCTTTGATTTGTATAATTATTATATATGTATTTTAAAGATAAATTTACTTGATCGGGCCCATTTATAGTTGTCCAGATCCTTAAAGGTGTAACCACTAATCAACATTACTGTAGAGGCGTGAATGAACCTTTTCTCATATTGAAATAAGACTTAATAGATAACATATACTACTACTGTTTAAAGGTTTGGAGTCTATAAGATTTTATTCAGCAAGGATGAACAAAATTGATCAAAAGTCACAGTAAAGACATTTAGAATGTTACAAAAGATTTATATTTCAGGTAAATGCTGTTCTTTCTATTAATCGAAAATTCCTGAAAAATGTATCATTGTTTGCACTAAATGTTAAGCAGCACAACTGTTTTTACGTTGATAATAATAAGAAATGTTTCTTGAGCATAAAATCAGCATATCAGAATGATTTCTGAAGGATCTTGTGACACTGAAGACTGGAGTAATGCTGCTGAAAATTCAGCTTTGTTTCACAGGAATACAATATATTTTAATATATATTTTAATAATATTCTCTATTTTTGATAAAATATCTATTTTGATGAGCAAAAACTATACTTACCCAAAACTTTTGAACAGTAGTGTACTTAACTGTTTGATTATACTTAGTTTTTAAAATATGAGTAGAAGAAAGATGGTGAGTAAATATTTTATAAAACTGCATTTTATACCAAAAGAACACCAAAAGTTTTTCATTTATTGATTTATGATAGCTCAGTTGTGCAATTTACAAGTATTTCCGGTTGCAGAGTAACAGATTGTGTGTGTGTGTGTGTGTGTGTAGGTGTTGGGGATTCCACTGGGCTCTGCTGTCAAACAGGTCTCCATGAGCAGCGGGCAGATCTTGGTTGCTAAGTCCAGCCCCTCTGTGTCCAAGGTTGTGGGCCAAAAGCAAGTGGTGGCACAGGGCATCGCTAAGGCAATTGTCAGTGGAGGAGGCAGCGGTGCAAGCGGCATCACGGGACAGCAGGTGCATGCTGTTACCAAGGCAGCAAGTGGGTCTGGAGGAAGTGGCAAGAGTGGAGGTCAGAGTACACATTTTTTTTTACCATCATAATGCCATAAAGGCAGCCATTTAATTAATGTGATCCCTGCTCTTCTGTCTTTTTTTGGGAAAAAAAAGGGGGGTGAAAAAACAAGATTGTGTGTTTGGAGAAGTGTTTGTCAGGCTGATCAGCAGATGTTGTGCTAAGAGGGGAATTTCACAGGGCTAATCTAAGTGTGTCTGGCTGTACCGCAACGCTGACTAAACCATTAGGAAACACCATTACTCAGTCAGACACTTGTATCTCCCTGCCGCCACAGAGGGAAACAGGAATTAGTTTGATTAATTTTAAAGACACCCATATGTGGATTCATATCGGAAGCCTGTTAGTGGTATATGAAATAGATAGAAGCTGTATTGCTGTATGTTCTGTATAGGTCCATGTTGTACACATTTTCTGCATCTTATGAGTCCACTTATGTCAATAGAGATTACGGCAAAATGATGTATGCTACCATTAACAGTAGTGCACAAAAATACAGTTAAAAAGTAATGTTGTATTACAAGTTTATATAACTGTTGTCTATTTTAGCCATTACTACTGTCACTTGATCTTTCAGAAATCATTCTAATATGCTGATTTGGTGTTCAAGTAACATTTGTGCTGCTACTAAATATTTTTGTGAAAGAAGTTCAAAAGAGCAGCATTTATTTGAAATGGAAATCCTTTTGTAATATAAATGTCTTCACTGTAACTTTTGATCAGTTGAATGCATCCAAATACAGGATTAAATTCTTCAAAAAGATACGTTTGAAGGGTAGTGTATGTTCACACTGCTTTTTCTCCAAACAGTGAAAACATAGCTGCCATGGGCTGTTAAGGACAAAACACCATGAAAGTAGCTAATACAGTTTCATGTTTTCTAAGCTATACAGAAGCTTTAAGTGCAGAACAGGTCAAATTGATATTCACTGATAACTTCTCTAATTTTTTACTTTAATTTTTTTTGTCCATATTCAGCATTTATTCTCTGGTACTGTACTATTTGCTGCTATAATATGTTTCTCTTTTGTGTAATAATTGTTTTTGTGGTGATTTGTCTTCATTTTGTTTTTAGTTATGGCCACCCTACAGCTACCGGCAAATAACTTGGCAAACCTGGCCAATCTGCCTCCGGGAACCAAGCTCTACCTGACCACCAACAGCAAGAACCCATCGGGCAAAGGCAAACTGTTACTGATCCCTCAGGGAGCTATTCTGAGAACCTCACACAGCGCAGGTCAGACACACACTATCATGTGATTTTGGGAACATTGTCATTGTCTCTTTCTGTATTCAGATAAACATCTAACTAAATTTATCTCTGTCTCTAGGCCAACAGTCTCAGAGTTCTGGTTCTGGAGGGTCGAAGTCCTCCAGTGGGTCCTCAGGGTCTGGCAGCCTGCCTTCCAATTTATCCTACACTTCTTACATCCTCAAACAGACTCCTCAGGTGAAATTATTTTCTGTAATCATTTAAAATTAAGATTTTGACACACATTAAACTCTGTAGAATTGATCATGACATACTATTTATTTAGTTACTAACTAACACCATTTGAATGACCTCTGTTTAATATGTTGAGCTCAGTGTGTGATTTTGTTGTCTAAAGCAATGTCCAGTCAAAGACACACACACACACACATCCCAGAAGCCTTTTTCTGTCAGTTTGGGTTATGTTGACAAAGTCATTATCAATCTTTTCAGGGCACGTTCTTGGTTGGCCAGCCAGGGGGCTCTGGGAAACAGACCTCTGGTAGTCACGTGGCATCAAGTCCTGCATCCAGTACCCAGCAGGCCATTCGGGTCACAGCCGGTCAGAAGGCAGCCATTTTGGCTCAGGTGTGTAACAAAGTAAGGATTTAACAACACCTCTACTTCCCCCTCTGCTGTATATAGTTATATAGCTACAGGGTAATATAATGTATTATTTATACATTATTAGTTGATATAATAAATGTATATATATTATATATTACAGTATGTATTATTAATATTATATAAATTAGAATATTATAATGATTTATATTAAAATTATATTGTTTTTTTTATATAGATGAAGTAAAAATATAGAAATAAAATGTTAAAATGCACACACTCAAACTCAGTGACTCAGAAGGAGTGAGATCCGTTTAGCTACTGTATAAAAGCAAAAGTGTTGAGGGGTTTGCCATTATTTCCTCCCTCTTTGTCATCGATTTCTTTCTCTCTCTCTCTCTCTCTCTCTCTCTCTCTCTCTCTCTCTCTCTCTCATTTCTCTTTCTCTCTCTTTCTTTTTCTCTCTCTCTCTTCTTTCTTTCTTTCTCTCTCTTTCTCTTTCTTTCTTTCTCTCGCTCTCTCTCTCTCTCTCTTTCTTTCTTTCTTTTTGGTAATATAATGTATTATTTATACATTATTAGTTGATATAATAAATGTATATATATTATATATTACAGTATGTATTATTAATATTATATAAATTAGAATATTATAATGATTTATATTAAAATTATATTGTTTTTTTTATATAGATGAAGTAAAAATATAGAAATAAAATGTTAAAATGCACACACTCAAACTCAGTGACTCAGAAGGAGTGAGATCCGTTTAGCTACTGTATAAAAGCAAAAGTGTTGAGGGGTTTGCCATTATTTCCTACCTCTTTGTCATCGATTTCTTTCTCTCTCTCTCTCTCTCTCTCTCTCTCTCTCTCTCTCTCTCTCTCTCTCTCTCATTGATCTTGCTTTATCTCTCCTTTTCTTTCTTTCACTTGCTGCACTTTCATTATTGTTACACAACGCCTCTTCTGAAGAACTTACACTCTCTAGAGCCCTTTCTGCATGTGTGTGTCCTGATTATAAGAGAGGATAATGAGTATGCCTGCAGCTGACATTTGAGCTGTAATTCAACCTGTAAACATACACTCATGGGTCTCTCTTCCTTCCTTCCTTCCTTCTCTTACTACCTTTCTTCTTGTTGCTTAATTATCCATTTGAATCATACCCTCATAATTCTCATCATAAAGTGGAGCACATAGGGCACCATGATTTCTGCTCGATAGTTTTTTGTTATAATTCTCGTTATCCCCCCCTCAGCACAGGTGAGACTAAATCAAACCTCTTCCTCTGGTGCATTAGACCTGCTAGAGATTGTTTGCATGCAGTAAGATGACCATACATATCGATTAGTGCCTGATCTACTTCAGTACTCTGGTGGTCATGGTCATTTGTGTTTGATTGAGGGTATTTGCTGTGAGCTTAAGAGCAAGAGAGAAGCAACATTAGAAGGAAAGACAAGTTAAAGACTTCTTGCTCTATCACTGCGTATGCTGTTATGTAAGGGAGATACTCGTCTTTTTTTATCTCTTTTTTTAAAGTCCAGTGAAGCTGTATTGGCATGAATATTAAAGTCCATTATTGCAAAAAACACAGAATGTAAAAAAAGAGACTGGGAGAATCTCATTGTTTTAGATTGTAGTTGTTCAGTATGTGTCTTATTTACCTTTTCATGTGATTGTAAGGCTGACAGTCTTATTTAGAACTGTAAAGAACAGACCCTCTGGTAGGAATAACACATTTATCAGATTGTTGGATTTGGGTTTTTCAACTTCTTTCTTTTAATATTTGATTGACAGGTGGTGGGTGGGTCTCAAGGTTCTCAGGTGAAGCTGTCAGATGGCTCAGTGAAGATGGTAACAGCTGCCGCAGCAAGTCACCTGAGCAAACCCGGCACAACCACCCTGAGAATGACGGGAGGTGTCATCACTGCCACAAGCTCAACCCCATCCACACCCAGTGCCACATCCACCTCTCAACAGGCAAGAGATTTACCTGTCTGTGTGTTCTACATTGTCTAATCAAGAAGTGTAGCTCTGTCCCTACCAAAGTCTTATTGGTCTAAAACCACATTCCATGATTAGGTCATTGACTTCAACTTTCAATTGAGACAAAAAATGTTCATGCTGAAAACTCATTGTGTTGTGCCTCCATTACAAAGTTGATATATTGAAGTCACTTTGTCTATTTATAGTCCCTCTAATGTTTTTCCCCCTACAGTCAGCAGAAGCCACTGGAGGATCGTCCTCTCAGCCATTCCCTCAGATGGCTAAAGCGCCACCGCAGCACCCTGTGCTTGTAGCTGCCAATCAAGCTGCAGTGATCAGTGCGGCCAAGAGTGCCAGCTCTGCCGCCAGCACAGTAAAGAGTTCTGCCTCTGGCACTGGTACCATAGTCACAGTCGCCAAGAGCGTCAACATGCCTCTCATTAGCCTGTCGAAGGGGGTGGGGTCATCTGTAGTGGGCGGGTCCAAAAGCTCAAGCCCCTCACTGCTCACTGCAGCATCACTGATTAGTGGAGGAACGGTCAGTGGGAAAACTGCTGCCACCATCTCAGGTAACCAGTCTTCTGCTGTCCAGAGTTGCCCCTTGTTTAAAAAAAATGTTTTAAAGGTGTGATCACACCTTTCGCGCGCACAGTCTGGAATTTCATATGAAGGTGAAAGATTTCCCCTCACTGATTTCACAATGGGTTCAATTTAGTCATGCAAATTTACCACATTGACCAACAGAAAGCTGCTTGGTTTTAAAGTGACTTCTGTATGAGATGTGCTTCATACATTGCTACATTATTGGCAATAGACAATGGCCTGTGAAATTTTGCCGAAACATTGTTACTGTCACCACACCTTTAAAATGACAAACAGCTAAAGCTCTCACAGACTCCCACATGCATTTAAATTGGATCACAAATGTCTTTTTTCCCATCTGGTGGTTGAATGGTCTCTCTGTCCATTAGCTTCAAGAGTGAAATACATTTTTATTAACATGAATTAGGGCGGTACGACAAATCTTTGTTACACATCATGTATATCGCTGTAACCATCATGGTTTGTGCATGGAAAATTGAATGAAAAATGGTTTATATGTTAAATAACCATGTTACAATGTATATTTTTGAATAATGCAAGCTGTCCATCTGCATTTAATTGCTTTAATTGCCTCACTTGTTTATTTTTTTATTTTTTTTTGGCCACATTTTGGTGTTCAGGTGTCACCATGATTCTCTACATTTGCAGGTATGTTGAAGTTGCACCCAGCTCAGTCCAGTTCCCAGCAGACAGTTCTGACCATCCCAACTAACCAGCTGAAGCAACTCAGTGTGGGCAGTGGGTCCTCAGGGCTGCAGACCATCTTGATGCCTGTCGGCAAAGGTAACAGCACCCTGTTCCTCTGATACCCACCCAGCCTGACTCACACTCCTGATCTGTAGTTTCCTGAAGGCTTTGAATCTGTGTAACATTGTCAAGTTAGACTTTTTTATTTTCAATTTCATGTTCCAGTTAACTGCTCTGATACACATAAGCTTTGTTCCAAAACCTATAGATGTGCCTTGTGGTTATAGATCTTGGCTGGCAACCAAAAGTAGGTTTGAGTCTCTACAAGTGGTGATTTATGATTTATCACCATTGTGATCTTAAGCAAGACACTGTTGTGTGTCATGATGGGCTGTGTCAGGTTGTTAAGGAGTTCTAATTCTGCCAGCCTTCATGGACTGATATTTTTTGTCAGCCGTGTTGAGCCTGCCCGATTGTGTTTATCAGAGATGTTTGTTTTTGTTCAGCATTCATCAGTGATGACAGTAATAGGTGAACAGAGCTCCAGAGACACTTACCTGTCAGATATGGTTTTCATTTTCTCATTTTGCGCTCTCTCTACCTGGTTGCTAGCTTTGTTTTAGATTGATCTGTGCAGCACCATAGCAGCAGAAGCTGCCTCAGTTTAGTTTGTTAAATGAGTGCAGTACTTGAACATCCAAGCAGCAAGACAGGCCATTTCCAGTAACAAGCTGTTGTCATAGTGATATGGATGGAAGTATGGAAGAATGTAAAGAAATTACAGGATTCAGTAATTGAGAAATGGCAGACTTGAGTGCTCTTAACATTTATGAGAAACCTCAGGAACTACATGAATCAGAACATTAAAAAAATGGCTGAAAGGTTTTTTTCTTTTACTAAATTAGCACTATTGCATATTTAGGCAATATTTGGGCAATATGACCAAAAAGTTATTTCACATTATGAGAAATTACAGTATATAATTATTTAAATTTAATCTTTATCATTAAACATACCAATAAAACAAGGACACCAATAAAATAAGCCTGGTACAAAAGGCAGGTTTCAAGTAGGTTTCAAGTAAGAAATACTATAGAAATTGAATAATAAAAGTAAAAATTAAAATAAAACATCCTTCACTGTGTAAATTAAATATACATTAAATCTGTGCTTTATTTTCCCATTTATATCATATTTAATCAGTTTAATCATTTATATTTAATCAGTCTAGTGTGTCAATAACAGTAATGCTATATTGTGAGGATATATTTACATTCCATGATATAGCAAAATCTCTATCAATAGGCACTTTATAATTGTCGCCATGCAACAGATGTAGTTACATCTATAAATTTTTACATTTATGCGTTTTATCAGATGCCCTTATAATGAATGATAGATTAATACTGCAAACTAATGTATACTTTTGTATTATCGCTTATCTAATAGTGGCCCATAAATAATAAAGTCAAAGTACCCTAGAGAACACTGTTGATGTGTAGTTAGCAGTAAATTGGTATTGGTCCTAATTAAACTGTGAATTTTGACCATACAATTTAGCTTGTGCATATTTTGTAAAGAATAACAATGCTTGCCACAAGATAGGCGCTTACCTTTATTCTCTGTAGCAGTCATGAATTTTGTCTTTAATAAATATATATACTGTGTGTGTGTGTGTCTACAATGTGATTTTCTGGATTTTTTTCCCTCATTTTGTCTCTCATAGTTGAGGTATACCTATGATGAAAATTACAGGCCTCTCTCATCTTTTTAAGTGGGAGAACTTGCACAATTGGTGGCTGACTAAATACTTTTTTGCCCCACTGTATATATATATATGTGTATATATATATATATATATATATATATATATATATATATATATATATATATATATATAGGCCTTTACACTTCTGTTCAAAGTTTTGGGGTTGGTAAGATTTTTAAATATTTGTCTTATATAACTTCTCTTATGCTCTCCAAGCCTTGCTCTCCAAGGCTGCATTTAATTGATTTATTTGATCAAAGGTAAGAAAGGTTACAAAATACTATTACTATTTAAAGTAAAGTTTTATTTCTGTTCTTACAAGCAGAATTTTCAGCATGATCCTTCAGAAATCATTCTAATTTGCTGATTTGGTGCTTTTTTTAATGAATAGAAAGTTCAAAAGAACAGCAATTTTTTGAAAAAATTTTTGTAATGTTATAAATGTCTTTACCGTCTCTTTTGATCAATAAAAAAATGTATGTTGCAGTCATGCAGTCTGGTGCTAAAGGTGCATCTGGCAGCAACACAGGTGGAGCTGCTTCCTCAGCATCCATACCTGTAGCTCAAGGTGAGACATGCGCGCGCACATACACATATACAGTGGATATAATGTCAAGGAGTAATGTGTATAACCATCCAAACTTTTTCTTTACCTCTGTTGTGTTTGTGTCTTTACATAGTTAAAACTGAACCTGGTTTGGTTAGCTCCACTTGTACGACTCCAGTACTCCAAACATCTGCCCCAGCCTCTACAGCACCCACCTCTGGTCCCCTGCCAACAACCCCCACATCCACAGATGCAGCTGCGACTATTAAAGTCGAACAGGGCATAGAATCTACAACGCATGAACTTATCAAGTAAGAACTAGACACACAATTGTGTCTCTCAGTCCTGATCTGTCTGAATGTCAGTTTTTGCCTAAGGATTCTATTTCAACAGAGGGGCATCGACACCCACAGACATGCACATTCACAATTTTGAATTTTTTTAATTGTGTGTTGCTATAGTAACACCTAGTCAGTAATAATACTGATGTAATTCTCCTGACATTTTGAGTTGGATTTTGACAAAAGTAATGCAGACTTGCAGTTTCTTGAGTGAATAAATAGTACATTCATTAATCACTTTCTAACCAATTCAGACTCATTTATTTATTTTATTTTGTAGGGGTCTGGTTTTTATCATCAGATTCAATCTAGTCTGCAAACTCACAACTAAAATAAAAATAAATGTGTTGCTGTGGAGCACCACTGCTGCTCAATATTAGTGACGGAAATTCAAATTTTTTGTTGAACGCTTGTAATATCTGTGTACATATCTTGGAAAAATTGTCAATCTCTCTCAGTACGGAGCATATCGAGAACATGACACAACTTCTGACGGCTATAGTGAAGAAATTCCCCCTGATTGTCCCTGAGAAAAGTAAGTTTGACAGCTTCACAGACTTTAAAATCGGCATGAAATTAAAAAATCATAACTATTTTCTGAATGCTTAGTTTTGAAAAATGCTTAGAAATTTTTATATTTTAAGTCTCTTAT